CTTTCATTATTATTACACAATTGTCACTATCTTTTACACTAATACACTCACATGGGCAAAAATATCTTTTATTTGTATTTTTTACTCACTATCAATATAATCAATATTTCTTAAATTTCGTACCCAATATAACTAAGACTATAGTTCCAGGAACGAAGAAATACAATTTTTCAAAGAAACACAAAATGCTAGTAAAATTTGAAAATTTTAAGTAGAGAAACACACATCCAAAGTAATTGTCTTTTATGTTTGTATTTAGATTTTTATATAAATAATTGTGACATTTTATTTTTTTTCCACATGTGTTGTCGGAAAAAAAAAAAAAAATTGTAGTAGATTAAAATATTATTTGAAATTTTTTTATATGAAATATAATAAATAATATTAATAATATAAAAATAATATTTTATATTGAATATTAAATTTTGTAAACAAATAATATGTATATATAGACAATCTTGTCAAAGAAACTTAAAAGAACAAACCCACAATATTATACTTCATCGGTCTTGTTACAAATATTTTTCTTCTCAATCCGCACGCCATTTTCTTTCTTTCTTTTTTTTTCTTTTTTTTTTTTTTAAATTTAACACTTAAATATATTTATTAAATATAAATTAATTAAATTAAATTTCAAATCATATATATAAAAGATTCATTCAAAATTCTTTTATTTATATTTTTTAATAAATAAATATTTTTATTTATATATAATTTTTTTTTATTTTTTTATAAAATTAATTTACGTTAATTATAAATAAATATATAAATCTTTTTATTTATTCGTATTATATTAAATTTTATTTTCTATAAAATAATATTCATATATACTTTCTCTGTCCAATAACTATAATTTTAGTTGTGTTTGATATCAAATTCAAGAATTATTGATATTATATTGATAGTAGGTAAGAAGTATGATTAAAAATTCTTTTTGTCCTTATAGTAATATAATTATTTATGAAAATAAGACTATTGTTTTGAGATAGACAAAAATAATAAAATAAACTATGGTATTAAAATACTAAAATATAGTATTTAAAACATTTAAATTCTTATTTAAATTTATTTAAACTAATATATTATATTTTATTTTAAAAATACTAAGAACATCATTTATATAAAAAATAATAAAATAATATTATAAGTATTAAATTAATATATTAAATTACATTATTTTAGATATCGTATATATAACCAAATAGATCATTCTATCCGAAATATATAAGGTATTTTTGTAGAGTGGTCTTCCCAAGAATCAAATGGAGATAAATAAATAAATAAATGCACATGGCAGAAATTGATGCGGCCCCGGTGTTCCTGGAAATTTACAGAGAACAATATGGATGTGTTTGTTTTTTATTCTAAATTAAAAAATAATAATTTCTCCCTCCCTACGGTAACATTTTATTTCATCACAAAATTTCTTATAGTAGTTACTCTCTCCATCCCACATAATTTGTCCGTATTTTTTATTTTTGTCTGTTCCATATAATTTGTCTTTTCTATTTTTGGAAATATAATTATACATTTTAATCGCATTTTAAATTTTAAATTTTAAAATTTTCTTAATTTTAATTAAACTATTTACTTATGTTAATCTTAATCTATAATTATTTTTACTAAATAATAATTATTTTTACTAATATACTTCTTAATTACTTACTAATTATTCTTTATCTAAATTCCTGTGTCTACAGTAATACATCCATATTATATGGAACGGATGAAGTATTAGTTATTTAATAATTGTATATAATAGAAATATATTTTAGCAATATAAATGATTAAAAAAATAATATATGTAATTAAATATTTTAAATATCTCAATTAAATGTATATAAATTATTTTATTAAAAATAAAATTTATTTATTTATTTATCATTATTGTAAATTGATTTTATAAAAAATTAAAAGTTTTAAATATAGATAAAAATATTTGATAATTAAGAAGAAAGATAAAAATACATGAACTTTGAGTGGTGTTATGAGTAAAATGTTAGAAATTTAATTAAATTAATTTATATTTATTAAGTATATTTTAAAATTGATAAATCTAATAAAAATATAAATGAATCATTTTTGTGGGACGATTAAAAAAAATGATCATATGTGGATTTTTTTAATCTATTATTATTTGTATTATATAATAATAATTTTTTATTAATATATATATTATTTATTTATTAATTATATTTTTTAAATTCTTATGTCTACGATAGGTCGTAGAAAACTTTATATGGAATGGAGAAGTACTACTTCTTTTATTTATCATACTATTATTTTTATTTATCCTATTTTTTTTTTTTTTTTATCAAAGTTTTAATAAAATTTTTACAATAGTATTCACTCCGATTCATTTTAATGCATGTTTATTCTATTTATGTTTGTCCTACTTTAATACTTTTTAATTTTGGATAAAACTTTCTAAATTAAAACGTATTTTACTTAACAAGTATAAATCAACTTAATTAACTATATAATAGTATATAATATTATATGTTACTTAAGATCTACTCAAAAGTCATTTATTTATCTTTATTTCTCTTCAAAAAAATAAATATTTTTATTTATATTAAAACTTCACATTTTTTATAAAATTAGTTTATATTTTTTATTTATTTATTTATATTATATAAAATTTTATTTTCTACGAATTAATATTCATATTTTATATATTTTATTAAAATATAATTATTTAAATATTAAATACATATTTTAAATTTTATATATCACTATCATAAATTAAACATTAATTAAATAAATTACTTTCGACCCAACTTCAACTCAATAATCAAACTAATTACCAAACTCACAAATGTTTCACCATATGCATAATAAATAAAGTACTATTTTTTAATTAATTATAATACTCATTTGAATTTAAACGGTAGAAATATATTCAAACTTTTGTTATATAACATGCAAATGTTTTAACAATAATTATATTCTAGTACTATTATTATAGTATTGGATTTATTTTCTTTAGTTTCTATTTTTTCTATTGTACAGCTTTCACTATTTAATATTATCTCAGTCCGACTCTAAAAGTCTCATTTATTTTCTTATGTGTTGATATTTGAATATTAATTATTATATTAAAATATAGTATAAATTAAAAGAATTATAAAAATATTTTCATTAATGTCTTATAATACTAATAGAATAAAATTTGTAAAAAAAAAAATAAAATTATACAAATAGTATAAATGTGAATAAAAATTTGAACACAACCACTTAGATTTGAACATGACCTCGCACTATTCATTAAAAATTATTTTCTCTACAATCATTAAATAAATATATAGTTTTTTATTTAATATATTAATAAAAAAATTGACACAACCACTAAGATTTGAACATGACTTGGCACTATTCATTAAAGATTATTTTTTCAACAATTATTAAATAAATATATATTTTTTATTTAATATATTAATAAAAAAATATTTTATCACTGTATTATACTCCTTCTGTTCACTTAGAAAATTGACATATATTTTTTATATGTTAGATTTTTTAATATTAATTATTATATTAAAATACAATACTGAGTTAAAAAAAATGACAAAAATTACTATAATACAAATATAATGATATTTGTGTAAAAAAATTATACAATATAAAAATAATGAATATACTTATTAATATTTTTTAAAAAGATAAATGTTGATTTTTTAAGGAAAATAAAATAAAATCTTTTACTATCTACGATATTAATTAATTAATTCCACAATACCAATTGCTACTTTTTGTCTTCAAAATGAAGTCTCTATGGATCATCGCTGTTCTTGCCCTCGTGGTATTCTCTTTAATTCATTCTCATCGCCACCGTATTTTGATATTATAAATTATATAATATTTTATATATATATATTAATAAAAATATATAAAACATGTTATTTATTGTGTGAAACTTATCGTATTAAATTAAAATATATACAAAATATTATGTTAATTCAAAATTAATATTTGATTATAAATACATACTTAATTATTTAATTTTATCAAGATAAAAAATAAAAAAATCTTAAATAGTCTTATTTAAGTAAAATAAATAGTAGATCAATATTTTATCTTATAATTTTTTATTTTTATTTTTTATTTTTGTAAAAATTAAGTAGTAGTTCGTCTCCCAAAAAATTTAAGATATTTTATTTTATTTTATTTTTATCTTATCTAGCTGTGAGACATGATTTTCTGTAATCTTTATGGGACCTAACTTGCAGCTATTAAGTTACGTTGGAAGTTTACTGTGTACTCGATGAGTAACAATAGCAGGTCCACATTATCAAAAAAAAAAAAAAAAAAAAAAACATTTTTGTTGGCTATTAAATTAGGTTATGACTTACCCATAGGCATTCAAAGAGTAGGATTGTGTGAATTCTTGCGTTAAAAATAGTATATATTTTTATTTCTAAAATCATCAAATAAGTAGTTATTTTTTATTTAACATATTATTTAAAAAAAAATTATATTATTTAAAATATTACATAAAAATATATATTTATATCAAATCAAAAAATAAAAAGTACTCTCTCCGTCCAATTTCTATTGTCCTAAAGTATATTTGCACGGTTTTTTAGATGATTGTCTTTTTATTATGAATTGACAAATTTGTCGTTAATTGTATGGTAGAGATTAAAAGTAATAAATGAATGAAGAGTAAAAATGTAAAATTTGTGTTTAAAAAAGAAAATAGGACAATAGTCCAAATAAGAAAGTAGGATATTAGTTAATTTGTGGACGGAGGGAGTAGTATATATATATTTTTTTACAGCATATTATTTTTACAAATTTTTTATATTATTAAAAATAGTACATTAAAACATTTATTTATATCAAATTGAAGACACCATTCAAATCTTTACTATTTCCAAATACTAAATCAAACCTAAACTTGAAATCGCAGATCACGACCTTACTTCATCACCTACCACTGTAAGTTTTTTTGTTCCTTCCTATAAATACCAGATGAAGATTTCACCTTAACCACCTAAATTACTATCTCTACCATATCAATTAATTCGAAAATATATCTTCTACCTGTTTGTGTGCAAAATGAAGTCTCTATGCATCATCACTTTTATTGTTCTTATCCTCATGGTATTCTTTCTAATCCATTCTCATCATCTCCTTATTTCAATATTCTAAATTTATGCATCATATGTTCGATGTTATCTATGTAGTTTGCGGGTTATGATGCTGTCGGAGCAAGAATCCACCCGGACGATGAATCGGGGGAGGACACACAAAAAGACTGTCATACTTGGAGCAAGGTAGCAAGTATCAACCCCAAGCCTCCACTTAGCAAGAAAGCTTTTGTAAGAGAGTTCGAACCAAGACCTAGTGCTACCGCTTACGTTGATGCAGTAAAACCTCAAAATAATATCCCTTTCGTCAAAGATTTTGAACCAAGGCCTAGTGCTTCAGCTTATGTTGATAGCAAAAACCCTCAAAATAATATCCCTTTCGTCAAAGATTTTGAACCACGACCTAGTGCTACAGCTTATGTTGATAGCAAAAACCCTCGAAATAATATCCCTTTCGTCAAAGATTTTGAACCACGACCTAGTGCTACAGCTTATGTTGATAGCAAAAACCCTCAAAATAATATCCCTTTCGTCAAAGATTTTGAACCACGACCTAGTGCTACAGCTTATGTTGATAGCAAAAACCCTCAAAATAATATCCCTTTCGTCAAAGATTTTGAACCACGACCTAGTGCTACGGCTTATGTTGATAGCAAAAACCCTCAAAATAATATCCCTTTCGTCAAAGATTTTGAACCACGACCTAGTGCTACAGCTTATGTTGATAGCAAAAACCCTCAGAACAATATTCCGTTTGCAAAAGGACTTTTAGTCGAGGCCTAGTATTATAATTTATGTTAGTGTTCTATTTGCTCAAAGTTGGTTGCCATATATTAATCTCTCTCTCTCTCTCTCTCTCTCTATATATATATATATATATGTATATGTATATGTATATATGTATGAACTTGTGTGTTTCCCTTCTGTATTTTATGGTGAAATATAAGTCATGTTCTAATGCACCCATGTAATTGGAGTGCACGGAAATGTGGCTCATGTAATTTGTATTTCTCAGTATTAATAATATATCTCCTAAATAAAATTTATCTTTTTGCTTCGAAGTAACGGTTTATATAGAGGATAAGAGAATATATCATAAAAAGAATGGGATGTAGTGGTGAAATCTTACCTATTGGTCCATTCATCATGTTGGGAAAATGAATTAAATAGTCATTTTAATTTAATTGGGATAATTAAGTAAAACCCACTCCATAAGTACCTTAATAATAAACTCAATCAATTATGGTGTAAATACACAAGGGGACCTCGAGAAAAATAAAAAATAAAAATTACGAAATGTTGTACCAAAAAGAGCTGATGATCGCGTGCTTAATGTCGAGGAATGAATCAAGGGTAGGAAATTTTCTACGCAAAGACAATGAATCGATCATTTTATAAATATGATAAAAATTCAATAATTTAGTTTAATTTCATCCAATTGCCTATTGATTATTTGTCATTTGTAGAATACTTACACCAAATATTCCAAGAACGACTTGCAGTTAAATACAACACATCGAAATTAATTTTACCAAACCCAAAATATGCAGAAACTTCTAAATAATCAATAGACTTACAAAATCTAAATTTTGGTAAAATTAGATAATTCCACAAATTTGAGCATACTTTTTAATTGCTATTCATGATTTAATCATTTTGGTCATGTTCATTTCTTAGTTCGATTTTGATTCTATATTAATCTTGTGAAGCTATTTTTAATCTTAATTTTCAGTTCAATTATAATTTTAACATAATGAATAAGCATTAAAAATTGCATATTATTTATTAATAAATCATTATTTAAAATTTCTAAAGAATACAAAAATATAGGTAAAATTAAGCAAACAAGAAGAATGAATAATTTGGGCTCAAGATGATTCGAAGTGGTCTTTATCTTGTTCGATGGGATCTTTCATTTCTTCTTGGGCTTATTTGTGGCCCAAATTTCTCTTGGGCTTAGTTCATATTATTTCTATCTAGGGTGTAATTTGGTTATTTATCGTTATGGCAATTAGGATGAGTGTAAGAATCTTGCTCAAGCATGTAATCTCCTTAATTCATTTTTATAAAATTTATTTTTTTTTAAAAAAAAAATCATAATTAAATTAATAATATATTTGTATATACACTCCTTCAGAGTCCCAATGAAAAATATTCATTTGTCATTTTAGTGGATCAACATAATAATATTTTATTAATTAGTAAAGATATGTAATTTAACATTTTTGCTCTTGCATTTACTAATAAAAAAGTATTTTTGTACAAATTAGAAGTATTTTGCAATCTGCATATTAATTACTTCTGTTATAATAATAATACTTTTGCATGAAGCATATGAAATAGGAAAAAATAATTTTGTATCCCAAAGAAAAAAAGATCACTTATAAAATTCGAGTTAAAATATATTTTAACAAATTTTTCCACTCAACCGAATAGGAGAAATTTCTTTAGTTATGATTCAAAGAAAAAAAAAATGAATGATACGACTTTCCTCAAAAAGATATTATCACAGAGATCAATGCAGTTTTCGACTTTTAATATCTTCAGTTTCAATATCATCAGACATATAAACAGATTAGTAAACTTTCGTTTTAAACTATTTCATCATAGCATATACATGTTGAGATAATGTTATTGAAATGACAACACCTCACATTTTGTCTATTTTCACATTTGTTTATATTTCGAATCTTGAAAATAAATTTGTCATAAGAAGTACTGCAATGAAGTAGCCTCCGCTTCGCACTTGTATAGATGACTTCCTATAAGTTGTCCTACAATATTCTAGCGATGAATGGTACGAAATCATTATAAGCTCAAGGCTTAGTTGAACCGATAAAACATCAACACTAATTGTTTTCTATTTCCTACTCGATGAATGATAAAAGACGTGTTTTTAAGTGTAGTATTACGAAATCATGTAGCCTAGTTTTTCTATTGAATCCAATTCGTTGGATCTTCAATCATTAAGATTAGGTGTTCGCTACAGTCGTTTTTAAATGTGATTTTACATATCTATTTATCCAAACAACTTTCGAAATTAATTTCGATTTAACTTTTGATTAGCGGACCCATTAGATTATCTTTAGACTTTATATAGTCTAACAAGATTACTCTACAAAATATCAATTCTTGCACAATATTATGTTAATGACAAATATATTGTAACATATCATTGTTCATTTACATTTTATGAATTTTTAATTTTCGCTAAACTCTTACAATATATGATTACTACACATATTTCTTTTTCTTTTTTTTTTTTTTTTTCCTACACATATTTCTTTCAGCATAGTGCTTTCGTAATAGTTGTCGAAGTCACTCGGTTTCTTTGCCCATTTCATCGGAGTGATAAATTCTAATTTTAAAGAGAAAATGTTATTATCATTTAATTAATTGTATTATTAACATATTTATTTATTTATTTATAAGTATATATCTCACAAAAAATGACAAGAAACATAATATTCATTCCGTTCAGTAACATATGATTTTTTTTTTTTTTTTGTCTATTCTCTTCAAAGATGATTCATTTATATTATCAGTAAATTTATTCATTTTAAATATATTTAATAAATATAAATCAATTCATTTAAATTTTAACTTTAACTTCTTACACCTATGGCCCGCTCAAAACAATTTTATTTTTTATCTATTTCTTCAATAAAAAATTATTTTTATTTATATTTAAATTTTTTCTTAAAATTAGTTTTAAGTTAATTATAAATAAAATAAATATATTTTTATTTATTTGTATTATATAAAATTTTGTTATCTACACAATGATATCTATATCGTATATATTTTTATTGAAATATAATTTAAAAATATTTAAAATATCAATAATACTATTTATATAAAAAAATAATAAAAACATATCATAATTTATTATTAATAACTTACTAATCTACACTACTTAAAATACGGTATTTTTAACCGGGGGTCATCCCCGATGGGACGGATGAAGTATAAATTTTTCTTTTTTACATTTGAGCTCTTTTATTATAAATATACCTTTTAAAAAATATAATATACACACAATTAAAATTAAATGTAGGAGTATTAGAAATCATATAAATCGCATTTAAAATTTTTATTTTTACTTTCAGTAACAACTATACAATTTAAATGTCCAAGTACTCAAAAATTATTATTTTTAATATATATTTGTCAGTATAAAAAACTACATTGGGTGTGTTTACTTCCGGAGTTTTAGTTTTGAGTTTTGATTTTAAATAATAAAATTTTGAATTGAAATAGTTACTTGATATGATATAAATATATATTGATGTTATATTTTGAATGTAAAATTAAATTTTAGTATAATATAATAAATAATAAATAATTATTTAATTTGATTTCCTTTTTTTAAAAAAATTCTTAAAATTATTAAAATCAAAATCAAAATTCTATATTTAAACACACCCATTAATTCTTTTCTAAAAGTATATTTATCAATATAAAAATAATAAATAATACTTCATCCGTCCCAAATATCGTGCTACACTGTAGACACAGTATTTTAGGAATGGTGTAATTAGTAGATAATTAAGAATATATTAGTGAAAATAAATATCCTATAGTATAAATAATTATAAATTAAGATTAAGATAACTAATTAGTTTAATTAAAATTTAAAAAAAATTAAAATGAGATTAAAGTGTGTAATTATTTTTTTTAAAAAAAATAACATGGTACGTAGGACGGACAGAAACGGTAACATGGACATGATGTTTGAGAAGGAATGAGAAAGTAGAAATTAGTGCATGATTCAGTATCAGTTAATCCGTGTATAGCATCACATAATTAAAATAATTAAATAATTTAATTAAAATAATAAAATTTAAAGTAAAATTAAAATATATAATCATACCTTAAAAAAAAAAAAAAATTATATAAAACAGTCAAATAATGAAAAATAAAAAATAGATATTTTATACGGACAATTGGGCAAAAATCCCTCTGTCCATTTATCATTTGGGATTCAGTCCCTAAAGATAAAAACTTGCTCTGCACTCCCCCCTTTTTCCTTCTTCCTTCTTCTTCCTCCCTAATCGTATTTCTCTTCATTCTGTTTCTTTTCGCGCAAAAAATTCTTGTGAAGCCGTTGTCCTCTTCCGTGAGCTCGAAAGCCACATCCCGCACAGGTAAGCTTCTTGTCTGGTTCGATTGAAAAATTTCCTAGGGCACTCTCCGAATCCTGTTCCGGTTCCCTGTCGTCGGCAGTCGGTTGATTCGGTCGAAGAACTACCGAAGGCTGTCACCGGTTCCGTGGCCCGTATTTCTTGGTCTCCGGTGAAATTAGATGTACCAAGTGTGTTTTTGTGTCGATTGATTCGGTCGAAGAACTACCGAAGGCTGTCACCGGTTCCCTGGCCCGTCTTTCTTGTTCTCCGGCGAAATTAGATGTACCAGGTGTGTTTTTGTATCGATATCTTAGTTGGAAAATTATTATCTGGAAGAAAATGTTTGGGTATTATTTTGGGTGATTTTGATAATAAATTTTGTTGCTATTTAGGGTTTAAGGGTAATATTTATTTTGTGAAATGGGTAATTTGTTGCTATTGAGGATCAAGACATTACTAGAATTCCGTAAGAACATATGATTTTAGTGTATTTTGTGTAAGATTATCTAATCGCCCATACGACCTAATATAGTTCATACGTTCATCGGTTGGATCGCTAGGTTCCGATGGACATGGAGCAAAGTAGTCTGAAATTATTAATTATATGTTCCTACGAAGGTGAGCATCATGTAATTCGTTTAGAAGAGGGCACCACGCTGGAGGATCTTTACCGGAATATATCGAAAAGATGGAATAAAGTGAGTATTGAGGCGGTAAAACTCCAATATATTGCACCTATTCAGAAAAGCTACGTGACGTTATTGTGTGACGATGATGTCGCAAATATGTGGAGAATGCATATCTTGTTAAAGGTAATGTTTGTGGATATGATTGCACGGTGCAGAAGCGAGCACCAGAGCGTGCCTCTCCGAAGCACGGTTGGACGCAGGTACGTTACTCATCATTTGTAATTAAGTAGTCTTTATTAAACTTTGTTATAGAATGCAGTCACAATTGTTCCTTATGAAAGAATGCAGTCTGTAAGCACTTATAATGCAGTATGTAAGAATGCAGTCTGTAAGCGCTTATAATGTCATGTTCAACACATCTAAAAACATATTGTTTATAGGCTACGTTAGTAATAATTCTTTCATGATATTGGCATACAACAATACCGTGGTATATTGTTGCGATGTTGTTTGTAGGTAGTAAGTATCCACCTCCGCGATTTTGTAGTAGCGCGGTGCAGAACGAACCACTGAAGAGATTGTAAAGATATGTAGTGGGGATATAACGTCTTGAAGGTATTTAACGATTTTCACTCCTTCTTCACACGCCACTGTCAATATCCTCTAGCAATCCGGTTTAGGTAGGTGTACCATGATCGATGCGTTGAAATTTCTGTAGCCCATGGCATTTACTGCATCACGTAGCCTGCTGCGGTGAATATATGCAGTTGTTCTTTTAAATACCCTGGATGACACGGTAGGTAACCATAGACACCGTGGACATACTCGGTCGAGTAAGATGGGTACCCATGTTTTTCCCTTTACTCTGAAAATATCTATTACCATATAAAATTAGAACTACTTACATCTGATATAATTTTCATTCTTATTATTGTATTTGTAATGTAGGGGTGAGGCCGAATGTTCTGGATTGAACGAAGATTGCGCCGATGGTATCTTTATTCCCGACGAAAGTACTAGTCTAATTGCAATGCAGAGATGCATTGTCGGGGAAGGGCAGACATTCAAGGGACCGCAGGAGTTTAGAAAGTTACTGAAGAATTATTCTATTGCCACTCAGAAACACTTTAGGTACCAAAAGAATGATTCGAGCAAAATTATTGCGGTGTGCATCGACAAAGGCTGTGGTTGGCGTATTTATGCATCCTTCCATGCTCGTGATGCATCATTCAGCATTCGTAAGTGCAATTTACATCACACATGTACTATGAGTCTATTGCAATCAAGAGATCATCCAGCAGCCGATGCGAACTGGATTTCTGAGGTCTACAAAGATAAGATACGTTCTATGCCAGCGTATAAGGCATCCGACATCCGGGAGCATATCCAAACAGATTATGGGATTGACGTGAAATATCATAAAGCATGGCGTGGCAAAGAGAATGCGATAAGGGCAATTAATGGTGGAGGTAGAGACAGTTTCTCACAACTTCCGTGGTACTGTCATGCACTTCGGGAGTCAAATCCGGGAAGTATTATAGACTGCGAAGTTGAGCAGGCAACCAAACGTTTCCAACGCCTTTTTGTTTGTCTAGGTGCATGCCGGCTGGGTTTTTTGAGGGGTTGCAGGCCCCTACTCTTTCTTGATGGGACACATATAAAAAACAAACACAAAGGGTGTCTGCTAAGTGCAATTGCAGTGGATGGGGATGATGGGATGTTTACTTTAGCATTTTCTGGTACGTAATTTGATATTAGCTACAGTTGTCATTTTGTTAGAATGCTGGGTATAGCTGTTCGTGTATGCTGTTTTCCATGCTCTCTTTAGGCACGTATGTACCCTTATACGTTGGAAACCTTTGTAGTTATTTGTGTTCTTATTTGTTGACTTGCAGCTGTGTCTACGGAAAATGATGAAAATTGGGAGTGGTTTTGCTGGAAGCTGCGATCTGTTTTAGAATGTGAGGGACGTACGGATTGGAAACAGTACACATTCTTCTCGGATCGGCACTCGGGTTTACTAAAGTCAATCTCGTGCGTCTTTCCCGGAGCACATCATGCGTACTGTCTCCGACACTTAGTGGACAACTTCCGTACCCAGGTATATGTACGTCAATATTAATCTGTAATGAACATCACTGGTTATGATCAGCCATAAAATGTCTTTTTTTTAGGTTATGCGGAGATACCCAATGCATAATAAGAAACGATGGACCGCTGTCTTCAATAAGGCCGCCTATGCTCCGTTGAGGAGAGATTTCGAAAACCACATTAGTTCTGTGGTCGAATCAATGCCATTGGCCAGGGACTTCATTACCCAATCACACCCAGAATGTTGGGCAAATTCACTATTCAGAGGCACTCGTTGGGGAATAATAAATAATAACATTGCTGAGTCATGGAATAGTTGGGTGAGATCCGCGAGGTCAATGCCATTCGTTGGGATGTTGGATACCATTAGAAGGCAAGTGATGGTAATGATGAATGAACGCCGCGAAAAGTCGGAGATAATGCACGGAAGGCTCTGTCCAAAACAGGAGAGCAAGTTGGCACTATCGTACATGGCGTCTCGACGGCTACAGTGCAGTTCATCCTCTAGAACTGTATTCGAGGTAACAGATTGTAATGAAAGATACGCAGTCGATTTGGAGGCGCGCAAATGCTCTTGTCGAGAATGGCAAATGTTCCGATTGCCCTGCAAGCATGCCTGCGCTTGCATTGAAAAATGCAGTATGTCAATTTATGATTTTTGCGATCTTTACTATAGCATTGAATCTTACAGAAAAACGTACCAGGAGCCAATAAATCCCGTACCGACGCATGATATGGACGTGATTGTTGAAATTCAGGCGGACCAAATTCACCCTCCTCCGTCGTCTGTCCAACCAGGCCGGCCAAAGAAGCGAAGGTTCGAGTCCCAGCAGGTAAAGAATGCACGGAAATGTGGTCGTTGTGGGCGTCTTGGACATAATAGAAGAAGTTGCAAGCAACAAATAGCTTAGCGAACCTTTTTTTCATTGTACATCTTTTTGGCTTCCAGGAGTATATATTAAGACAGTAGGTACATATTCAATAGCTATATTGTAATTGTTTTTTGTGTCTCTAGGATGTAACCGGTTGGATCCATCGACTTATTTGCAGTAGTAAGTGGTATGTAGCCCTCTCACGCAGGTATATGATGAAGTTGTGAAGGTTCATAGTTATATTCTGCAGGTATATTTTTCATGTACTGAGGCATTTGATGATGTAGCTCTGTAGGGACGGATGGTTAATGTAATGTCTAATTGTTTTGAAAGTACATGCTATCCTATTTTTGGGTTATTACTAGGAGGTATAGTTGTTGTATTACACTCGTCATACTAACCAAGTGCATGTGTCATACAACTTAAGTATTTGTTGATGCCTTCTTTAACCATCAGCAGTAAATACATGCTATTTGAAGAAAAAAAAAAAAAAGACCGTTTCCCCAGCCACAGGTAACCAGGGCATACATAATTGCAACTGAAGTATAATGTCACGGTTGTTGTAAGTACGCAATAGCTTACAGAGGGTATATGAATAATGATTCCAACATATAGGGTTGCGGTCCGAGTACAAACCATATTTTATTTTGTTTATACAGTATTCTAATTGTATTACCGTGTAATAACTTGGAGGCGTAGCATTGATTAAAATTCAGCACACAGCTACGTACCAGACTTCCATATGCCACACAACTATATTGCGGTTATATTATCGTGTCTATTCTATTGTGTTCTAATTCAATTAACGGGTAAGCGATGTAAGTATAATCTGTGGCCTAAAACACGCCATTCAAGATTATGGGGTTGACGAGCAACACTACCATGGTTAAGCCAATACACTCTTACCATCAGTTCATGAATATTTTAAGAGAAAAGGCCGAGTCCCCACCCGTAGGGTACCAGAGCATTTGAAATGGTAACGGAAGTATAAAGGCTATTTCCGTAGGTACATAATAGATACTATAGGGTATTTGTAATAATGACTCCGTTACTTATGCATCCGAGCTAAGTACCAGACTCGCTGAACGAGGTACACAGATTGCGTATGCGGGCATCTGTGTTGTAGTTGTAGGTATCCTAGTTGTAGGTATAGTAGCACTTCTCTGTAACCACGTGTTGCTTAGCATTCCGCAGGAAATAGTTGATTGTAATCTAGACGTTGGCCCACACGCAATTACCAGACACCTATGTCCCGCACAAATATTTTGTTGTAATATGATCAAGTTTTTTTAGTATTGTTTGTTTTAAATTAACGAGTAAGCCCTTGCAGTATCTCCGGTCGATTAAAACATGGCGTCCAGTAGGGTTTTATGAGAAACGCCGACACGGTTGAACTGATTCAAAGTGAACGCTATTTCAGTGATCAGTGCAAAAGAAATGACCAGTCCCACAAACGCAAATGACTGGAGCATGTAATATATAAATGGAAGTACATACTAGTTTTCCGTAGGCACATAAAAGCTATCAACGGGTATCACCACACAACGCAGGTATATAATGAAGATGACAAATCAATCCACATAAAAGACATTTACCAATTCCATCACCTCGATACACAATGCAATAACTTCCCAGGTCAATCCAAATTGAAGACATTAAACAAATCCATCACCTCCACACAACACAATAACTTCCCAGATCAATCCAAACTGAAGACATTCAACAAATCCATCACCTCGCCACACAACGCAAAAACTTCCCAAATCAATCCAAATTCATTACATGTGTTAACCTGCCCTATTTTTCCATCGGGGTCTACATTTCAGAAGGGGGGACCTTTCAATATCCTCGCCGCAATCGTGCCTCGGTAGCTCTTGACATCGCCGAAGTCCTCGCCGAGGACACCAACGAGATTGACATCTGGACCTGCCCGCGCATAACACTCTGCAAACATGCAGACTAAAGGTCCACAGTCCAACGTTTCACCCTGGTGTCGGCATCTAATGTACTCGGGCATGTCGCTGACCATAGGCCATAGTCGTGACGCGTTCATATACAACGATAAAAATCGCGTCTGCACAAATAACGTTACTCTTTCGTTAAGGAATTCACCCTACCCATAGGCAATTAATTATGATCATTCGAAAGACGTACCAATTTCTTTGCATTCCCCTGGCCGAAGGGGTCGCGCATTGAGTTACACTCCAACACAACACGTTTGACGGTATCCAGTATGCAGAGATGCCAGTGGAACCGGGTGTGTACGGGTAGAAATATGTACCGGCACCCAGACCGGATTTTGTCCATGATTCCGGCAATCTCTTGGCCTACGGTCACTTGCAGCGAGTTGGCAAACGCGAGTACATTACCCTTATTGATGCTCGGCTTTTTCGCTCCCCTACTTGGTCGTGATAGCGCGTCGTTCACGGCTTTCTGAAAATCGAACACAGCAACCAACGCAATAATAACAATGTGATTTGTAATACTAACCGTATAAATTCCAAACAGGATACTCACCGCTACGAACCATGGCACACAACCACACCGCACCTGCGGATTGTGTTGGAGCTGATATTCATTGCTGCATAGATGATATAGGTACGCGTCGATGACTTCGCCTTTCACAGCTTCGTCAAACAGTAGTTCTAAAACGGCATCGGACGAGACAGACACGACGCCCTGCTGCCATACAGTGTCCCTACAACATGATAGTCGCAAACGGATAAAAACATCGATTGAGAAAAATATATAAAGCCTTGATAGTGAATAGCAATACCGGACAGCGAATGACGCGAGAAAATGTTCAATGGTGTTCGTCTCATCCTCAGATAAGGAACCCTTTCCACAGTAGCTGTCATTATTGCGATATCCCTCCCACTTTTGTGCTCCAGGGTCTGCTACAACCTTAGCATCCGAGTCCCCATCGTCGCCGACGACAAATGGTTCCTGAACCAACAATGAAGATAATCATGTTTCCGTAGGTATCTGTATTTATTGTACAGGTATTGACGCAGAAACACTAGGTATTTAAGAATCTATCTGAAGTATTTTGAGCCAGACGACTTATATTTGTATGGAACTACGTACCTGCTCATTATTGACGTCGACCGCTGACTTTCCTTTCGCCCTCCGTGTTTTTCTCACTTTCTCAATTCGCGGTGTCGACACAGGTGTCACGAATTCAGGCTCCTTCTTTCTCTTCCGATCCTTACGTGCCATTACACCACGTACAATCGATGAATCTGCGGCCCTGCTACAAGTCTCACGGTCGGAGTCATCGCCCTGCTACAATTTCAACAAAGCAAATAATCATTCAACAGATAGACAACTACGACCTACAAATTGTACTTACTATATTAATTAGCTTACCTTGACATCTATCGGTGCAACATAAGGAACAATGGCCATCAATTGGTTAAACTCTAGCAGGCTACCAACCCCTTCGTCATCTGACTCGTTTATCGGATCAACTTCGGCCAAAAGGATGTCCATTTTTTTTTTGCTTCGGCGCTCAGTATTCGCTTGCTCTTCCGCTGCCTCCTCGGGATCCTCCTCAGTCTGCCTCCTCCTCCCCAGTTTTTTCCTCCTTCTCCTCCTCCTCCTCCTCTTCACCCTGACTCTCCTCCTCCTGACCTTGCTTCTCCTCCATGTCGGCCTGCTTCTCTTTCCTCTCAGACTCCACAGCCATCCGGTCTGCTGTCTCTTCATCCCCATAGTTTGCATCACCCTCCTCGCCATCGCTCTCGTCCTCACCCTCACCTTCACTGTCGTCATCGACAACACCGGCTCTAGATCTTTGTAATTTATGAGCAAGTCTGGCAATTGCAGTGTCTTTCTTCCGCAGCTCCACCTTCAATGCCGCAATTTGCTGCGCTGCTTCCTGCAACATATGTTAATAATGTCATATAAGAAATTATTTTATCCATTTACAACGGTAGCAACATTGAATAATGCATTTACCTCTGAAGCATGACAAATTGCACGAACGAACTTTTCTTCCGTGCCTATCCGATAGAATTCCTGAACATCGGACCGCTTTACGGAAGTCAGTTCATCAACTGCATGAGCCCTGGACATTGGACCGAGGCTATTCAGCCACCGAAAGAGACGCGGTACCTTCGGAAGGCACCGTGCCTTGTCCAGAGTTGGGACCCTCTCATTGAACCACGCCTGCACATATTGTAATAGACATTACTGCCAACAATAATACATATTGTGCAATATACCAAAATAAGTAGAAAAAATTAACAAATCCGATATTACATTGCTTACCAACAAACCCGCGGTGCAGCCTGTCAAATATTTTTTCCCGGACTTGAAGTCGCTTATAGACTTCAACAGATAACGGTGACTCGCGGGTCCCCACGCGTAGTCACCAATCGCACTCAGGTCTTCCACATACGGTAACAAAAAAAGGGGTACAGAATAATTCGCAGAACAAAATAAAATATTTGCAAAAACAAACATAATAAAAAGACGAGCAACATCCGCAACAGAAAGAGGCTCCAGCCCCTGCAACAGAGCCTCACGCAGCTTCTGCAACACCTGCCCGCGGGTTACAGAACGTGGCTTGCTCCCAAAAATTCGAACAAACCATTCGCTTTCGACCGATGTATTTTCGGTCACGTAGACTCCTTTCGCGTGTAGTCCTAAGACTACAGAATATTCTTCAACTTCAAACGGAAGCTCAATGTCACTTCCAATCTTGAAGGACATAGATTCCGAACTGAAGCTATTGACGAGGGCAACAAGTCGGTGCCATGGAAACTTCATTTTCGGGCAATCCAGAAAATGCCCGAATGGTGTCATGTTTATAGCTGCGATGTGTTGGTCTCTCATGTGTTGCTTCAGTTTGGCCAGCTCATTATGAAAAAAAGGTAATGCAAATCGGCTGATCACCGATTTGTGCTCCTTGCCTGGCCTGTAAGTAAAAACCATAAGTCCACGTTACCCAAATCTCTAATTTAGTTAAAATTTTTTCACAATTTAGCAGGAGTAAAAACGCATTCCGAGTATACAACAGTGCCGTTCAGGTATATTAATTGGCAAATTAGACCAAACAAATGAAACTCCTGGTGCCTAATATTACCGCATTTATCAACCCACAAATATGACTATTTACCGAACAATCCACCAAAAAACCTAAAATATGCAACTTCGAGTAACTAAACAAAATATACATCTCCAAAATTAACAAAATCAAAGATAAAAACAGATAAAATCACCCAAAATCGGCCGAACCGGGTTTCCTGACCAAAAATTCGAACAATTTCAAACCACCCGTTGAACTAACACAACACCGAACACCCAGGGTTCCTCATCACTAAACCGAGGCATACAAACACGGGACCAAGGCTTCTACCCCAAACAATCGAGTAAACTACGATATAAAATTCGATTGTCAACAAAATCATAAAACGAAAAGGGTTTCGACCAGACACTTACTTTTTTGAACTCCTCGTGGGGGATCGCGGCGGATTCGCGGTTTTTCTCACCATTTCGCTGAACAAAATGTCTTACTGCTGATCGTCGAGTTCGCGAGGGACGATTTCCTTCTCGAAGAACTAGGGCTTGAACGGAGAGTGAGTGAGGGGAGTTAGGGAATGTTTCAGTTTTTAAATCGTGCATATTTTCTGTGATTTTTTTTTAAAAAAAAATCACAAAATAAGGTACGCAGTATTTAAATGGAATTATCTAATCGTATACTGGGGGTAGAGCGGGAGGTAATGTAGGTATATATTATAAAATTGGGAGTATTTATTAATCAATCGTAAGTACATGTTGCATATACAATTGTCATTGAGTAGAAAATACAAGAAGGGAGTTATAACATATCTAATCAATAAAGTAGGGACTGCAGATCAATTAATTTACAATGGGGACTGAATTGCAAGCAAAATACACTGACAGGGATTTTAGTCCAAGTCTCCCTATTTTATATTGGGTATATACAGCTCATATATTATCATACCCAGACACATCCGATGAAGGGCCACATTTGTGACAACACATACCCCTTTAATAATTAGGGTTGCATCGAATTTTGTGGAGTCGTGTCGTATTATGACATGTCCACGTGAGTCACGTGAAATCAGAAGTTTACTACCGTAATGCCTGACAACGGGTTTTGTTTATATGGATTCTTTTACAAAAATTTGTATTTTATTTAGGGTGTGTTTGTTTGGGGGTTTGGATTTTGAGTTGGGATTTGAATAGTAAAAATTTTGAATTTGAATAGTTTTATGATGTGATATAAATAGGTGTTGATGTGATGTTTTGAATGTAAAATTGATTTTTAATATAATATAAAAAATAAAAAATAAGTGTTTGATTTGATGTTTTTGGGGAGAAATTTTTGGATGAATAGTAGGATTTTATCTAAATTCTAAAAACGAACACACCCTTATTGTTCAAATTTATTTTTACTTTGGTTGTCACTTGAATCTATTTTTGTTTTTTTTTAATAAAAGAATGTTTATTTTTTTATTTTTATATTATAAAAAAATATTTTCACTTATTTTTATAAAAAGTATAAATTTTAACAACGGACAAAGTAATTATTAATAAGAGTAATAATTTTTTATAATTCTAAAAACAATCATATGAAATATTTATTAATTTTTATTTAAAATTATTACTTTAAAGTTTTGGAATTGTTTGGATTTTTTTTTTCTAAATACTCCTTTAGTTTTATATAAAAAAAAATATTATTATTGTCTAGTTATTTTTTTGCGTGTTAATTTTTAATATTAATTATTATATAAAAAATAGTACAAACTAAAAAAAATATTGCAAAAATATTTCATTAATATTTATAATACTAATAAAAATGTATTTGTACAAAACCCTTAGAGCCGAACGAAGATAATCTTATATTAAAGTTCATGTGCGAATATTAAATAATTACATTTGCACCGGAGAATATTATTTCTTAATCTTTGTGCTCCAGTAATGTAGCATAAAAAGCCCAAGCCAAAGAAATATATATATATATTTATACATAATTAACATAAATTAATTTTATTTTTATATATAAATTATAATTAATAATGTATTTTTTTAAAAAAAAATAAAATGACAAAATATCCTATTTCCAAGTCCCACTAGGACATTGGGCAAAAAGTGACCATTGGAAAACATGCATATCTTTATTTATCTATATATATACTATACTACAAGATATCAAGTACAAGATACATCAAATAGAAAAATAACTTCTTTTGTATGCAAAATGAACAAGAAGACTCTATGCCTCCTCTTCCTTTCTCTCATGGTATTCTCCTTACTTCATTCTCATAATTATTTGATTATTTCACTATTCTAACATCCATTCATAAATATGTTATTGTATGATTATTTCAATAGATTATATAATTATGAAATTGAATATACCGTTTACTTTGTTTGATTAAATATACATATGATAATATAAACTTTAGTATAAATATTTTTTAGATAAATTAATCATATCCATCTAAATGAGATTAATTATCCTTAATTAACACATTAGTATAACAGTTCTTTTAATCAACATCGAATTTTAATGAACTATTGTAAATATATGATAAGCTAGTATATACTAGTATATGGTATTTTGTAAACTTAGAATTGTATAAGCGCTTAGCAAGTAATGTATCATTCAAATATATTCTTGTACTCCATCTGTTCACAAATTAATATCTTATTTTTCTATTTTGAACGTCCAAAAATAGTTGTCCTCTTTCTATTTTTATACATGGAATTTACCTTTTTACCCTTACTTTATTTATTTTTTTTTATATTTATACACAAAATAAAAGGTTGTGTTGTCAATTTACAACAAGAAAAATTAATTACCTAAAAAAACGTGTAAATATCGCTTAGGACATCAGAGAGTGGACGTGCTATCATATGATGTTATTTGTTAATTGTGTAGTTGGCAACTACTTACGTTGTCGGTGCAAGAATTCATCGAAATGGTAAGTCAATCCACAACACGAAGAGTGAAGAATGTCACAACTCTGGCAAGGCAAAAAGTATGCATATTGATCATTTCAAGGCTCATGAGAAAGAATTATTTTTAAAAGATTTTGACCCGAGGCCAAGTGTTACTGCTTATGTTGATAATCAAAACCCTGAAAAAAAGAATCCATTTGTGACAGATTTTGAGCCGAGATCTACTTATGTTGGTAATAAAAAATTCCAAAATAAAATTCTTTTCTGGGAAAACATTGAGCCAAGGCCCAGTGTCACAGCTTATGTCGATAATCTAAAGTCTCAAGAAAAAAAGCCTTCCACGAAGGACTTTGAGTCGGAACCAAATGGCGCAACATATATGGAAGATATTAAAGCAGGAGCAGATAAGAAAGTCTTCCAAGGAGATTTTGAGCCAAGGCCGAGTGTTACAGCCTATCTTGACTGAAGATGAAAATCTATTATTAGAATCTGTGTGTATTTTATTATTGGTTTGTGTGCAAAAATATCCATCTATATGGAATGGCGAATTTAGGATTTTGAATTTGGTGGGTTGATAAATTAATTTAATTAAATTAAAATTTAAAAAAATAATTACATCAACAAAAATTTACATTAAAAAAAAATAAGAAAATTCAAATTAATAATCATTAATACATCAAAATAATTATAAGTATTCACGACGAGATCCTATATTTTGGTATCGTCTATATTAACTTACATAAGCATATCTCCTTCTAGAAAGTAACGGAACAATATTTCAATAATTAATCTCTAATGCTATTATGTAATTTGTAATTTATGATAGTTGTCGATGATAATCTTTCTACTATTACAATTGCTATAGAAAGAAGTTTCGTAGAAGAATTTTTTTTTTTTTTTTTTTGTCTCACCAAATTTTATATAAAGTTTATTTAGACTTTTTAAATTCCAGAATATCTCAAACATCAATAATAAAATTATATAATAATAATTCGAAAACCATCAATTTTGCTTTTAAAACCTCCGTATGATACAATTCTGCAAGTAAATATTATCTCTTTTTATTAAAAGAGAAAAATCAATTAGAAAAAGAAAAAAATAAATAAAAGATATCAATACTTCATTTGGTGGGTCTTGTAGAATATTGCAACCAAATAAAAATAGAATTAATACTTAGGGATGTATTCGTAATTTTAGTGATAATTAATATTATTTTATTTTAGTTTTTATGGTGGGTCAATTGACCCACATTACCTAAGACTGCATCCGCCCATGTCTATATGTATCGGCATGCATTTTCTAAAATAAATTTTGAAGTGCTATTCATGAAATATATATATATATATATATATAGAGGCGGACCGAGGTGGGGGTAAGGGTGGACTGCAGCCCTCCTCCCCACGTCACCCCAATTTTTATTTATTTATTTATTTAAATTTATGTATTTAAATATATGTAATATAGAGAAAATAGATAAATAAAAAATACTAAAAAATTGTATATCTTGTCTGAATAAAAAGGAATACATAAAAATAATATTTATAATACAATGTATAACTATTATTATTGTTATAGTTCGTTATTTGTATTTATTTTCTTCAAAATATAATAAGGGTGTGTTTGTTTGGGGGTTTGGATTTTGAATTGGGATTTGAATAGTAAAAGTTTTGAATTTGAATAGTTGTATGATGTGATATAAATAGGTGTTGATGTAATGTTTTGAATGTAAAATTAATTTTTAATATAATATAAAAAATGAAAAATAGGTGTTTGATTTGATGTTTTTTAGGAAAAAAAATTAGATGAATAGTAGGATTTTGTTAAAATCCTACAAACGAACACACCCTAATAAAATGATAATTTTTTCGGATAATAAATAAATATTTATAAATAAAAGATATTATTTTATAAATTTCAAAATTAATCCCTTATCAAATATAATCCTAGGTCCGCCTCTGTGTGCGTATATATACACACACATGCAATATTAAGGATGTATTTGGTCTTGTTGGGGACTCCCGTTTGCGGATATATAACTAATGGCTTAGTTTTCTTAATAGTTCGAACTTTTAAGTGAGACGGTCATTAGCATCCGACATGGTATCAGAGCCTAGGTTAGGTTTCGCATACCTCCACTTGCACCTGAGGGGGCGTGTTGGGGACTCCCGTTTGCGGATATATAACTAATGGCTTAGTTTCCCTAATAGTTCGAACTTTTAGGTGAGATGGTCATTAGCATCCGACAGGTCTTGTAAAAGATTGATTTACTAATGCGACGGTGAACTCATAATCGCGACATTTCTTAATGTTTTTTGGATTTTGTCTCCCATAGCTTCATAGTACTACGTTTCGACTGGGATTACTATAGATATAGATATATATATATATTAAGGGTGGATTTTGGTCCTTATTTTGGATTTTATATATTGTTTAAATTTAAAATATTTTAATATAAGATAAATAAAATAATATTCGGATGAATGTTAACATCATAATGAAATACTCTTTTCGTCTTTAATAAAATGTTCAGATCACTGTAGATACAATGATTTAAAAAGATTATAATTAGTAAATATTTAGAAGTGTATTAGTAAAAATAAATATAATATAATATAATACAAATTATTAATATTAACATAATTAAATAACTTAATTAAAATTAAAAAAATTATAGATTATGAAATTTAAAATGTAAGTAAAGTGTAGAATCATTTTAAAAAAAATGATAAATTATATGGGACGGACCAAAGTAAAAATACTAAACATTTTATATGGAACAGCGCCGGGCAGCTAAATTGGTATGGAAAAATTGCTGCGCAGCGGAAAATCCTTCTCTATACAAGTTCTCGGAATATATTTTATGAAAATAAATTAAATTGTATATAAAAGGTGTTTAAATTTATATCATAATAAAAATATATTTATATTACTCTATAAAAATAAAATTTTATACAATATTACTTTTTAATATATATATATGTGAAAATTATAAATGATTCTAATTATAAAATTAAAAAATCTAAATCCGATTAAACATCACATTCAAACGCCATGAAGAAGAGAACATTGGGTTTGTGTTTTTGAGATTGTTGGAAGTAAATATTTTTTTTACGTGACTTATAAAAAAAATGTGTTGATAATATAAAAATAATGAATATACGTAATATATTATTATTTTATTTTTTTTTGAAAAAAAAAATATAAAGAACAAAGCCATTATCCATCCACAATAGACAACTTTATGAATATTAACCTTTAGTCGTCTATTTTAATTATTTTATTATTATATATGTGATAAGCTTGTTTGGGTCGATGTTGTCTGCAGAGCCAATATCTACTAACCAAGACCCTAGCTCGTCGATGATTTAAGTTCGGTTTGTGTTTGTTCATTAAAATATACGAATTGAAATTTTTATTTTAGTTCGACTGGTATAACAAAAAGTAATTATTTTATTTAAATTTAAGTTTAATTAATAATAATTAAATTTTTTATTAATAAATTTATATAAAAAATATAATGAAATATAATATTTATAAATATATATAGTTATTAAATATCAAATATTAATTTAATTTTTTAACAGATATTGTCGAACGCCTGCGAACAAGCTTGAGTTCGTTTGTGAATATATCGAGCCAAGATTTATATTTGTATTCGGCTTGTTTAGCTTAGCAAATAAACTTTTAATGAGCTGACTAGCGAACTGTTCATTTATTTTACAACTTTAACGAAGCAATTGGCTTTGGGCTGAAAATGATTTTTTGGTTTCTCGAGTAGTGTGTTTGTTTGGAGGATTGGATTTTAAATACACTATTCATCTTATGTTTTTTCCCCAAAAAAAATCAAATCAAACATTTATTTTTCATTTTTTTATATTATATTAAAAATCAATTTTACATTTAAAATATCACATCAACACCTATTTATATCACATCATACAATTATTTAAATTCAAAATTTTTATTATTCAAATTTCAATTCAAAATTCAAACCCCCGACAAACACACCCTTAAGACGATAAGAAATCAATGGATTGAATTCCGTTATAGGAGAAACATAACAATTTGATTGGCTTAATTAATAGAGTATGACCCTCAAGATAAATAAATAAATAAATAAAAATAAAAATAAAAAGTATCGAATACGCACATTCAGCTAAAGAAAGAGATCTAAAATATTTCCAGACTTCAACATCAAATTATTATTATTATTTTTTTTCACGTTATATTCTTTTCCAATTCAAAAAAAAAATACTTATATATTTTATATTTATATTAAAATTATTTATGTTTAAAAATAATTTTTTTAAAAATATATATATAAATTCACACATCATTATATATATAAAAAAATAAAAAATTATATAATACAAAAATATAAAAAAAAAATGTTATAAAAATTAAATAAAAATTGTACGCATCAATTTTTTTAATTTTTTTTTTTTTCCCAAATGCTTACGTGACAGGTGATGTGGGTATTCATAAATATTATTTTAAAATACAATATACACACATTAATACAAAATTATAGTCGTTTCATAATTCATTTGTTGTTTGTGGCTATTAATTTTAATATTTATTTGCAGGATTATCACTAATTACCATTTTATAATTATTGCTTCCACAAATGTACACACCATTCCATTATTTTGATTGATTCTTGAAATTAATTATTGGATTTGAGAGATAGATCCATTCGTGTTTTGTCAACATTTGAGATTTTTGCAATATTTCTTTATTTACTTTGATTTTTACTTTTAATCTTAATTTCATCTTTATTCATTTTAGAGAAAAAAATTATTATTTTTTGTTCCATTGAATTTTTTGTTTTTTATTTTTAATTTTTTTATATTTTTAATCAATTTCACTACCATTCAAATTAAAATTTATTAATTACAGTCTTATAGTAGCTAATTTGAACTAAACCCAACATAATTGGATGATTAAAAAATATGACTAAATTCCACATACAGCTAATTTTACATCACGACAGTGTTTTGAATATAGTCATATTTTACGTCATATTTGTTATTATTTTCACTTCTTTGTTTAAATTATTTTATATATATTTATAATTCAACAAAACTATATTTTTTAAATTATTTTAAATTATAAAAATTAATCAAAATTAATATTTTTTTTAAAAAAATAGAAAATAATAATAAACATAATAGATTAATATATATTTTTTTAATAATAATTATATATATATTTAAAAATTTATATTAAAATTTTTAAAATAATTTTAATTTATAATTTCAAAATTGAGAACAAAATTATTGAGCCGTTCCTTGATTCATTTGTTGTTTGCCGTGATCAACTTTAATATTTATTTGTAGGATTATAAGTATTTATCATTTTATAATTATTGCTCTTGCAATTCTACACATACCATTCCATTATTGTGATTGATTCTTGAAAATTGAAATGATTGGATTGGAGAGATGGATCCATTCGTGTTTTTTTCTGCACTTGAGATTTATACATTAATCTTTCTTTATTTAATTTAATCTATATTTTACGTTGGTTTGGTTTGGTTTTTATTTCAAATTGACTTTTTTTATTTAAATTTTGATTTAAATAATATTTTAATTTGATGTTTTAGAAAAAATAATAATATACTTTTATTAAAAATCGTATATATGGAATAGCTTGTTTTTTTTTTTAGAAAAAAAAAATTTATAAAAAGAACAACCTTTAAGATTGATTTATCTATTTTCTTTTAGTGTGATTTTGCATATATAATTTTCAATAAAATTTGAAGTGTTACTCAAGAAAAAAATATGCCAATGTGTAAGAGTTTAGAGTTTAGAAAATGAAAAAATAATATATTAAAACGAGTGAGATATATAAAAAATATGAAAAATCTTATAAAGGTATCACCATTTATTTTACAATGACCCGGTGATGTGGAGAGTGAATTTGTGACTGTGAATCATGGGTTTAAATTCCGACACCTGGTCCACTTGCCACACACGAGTATTTTTAATTGAATGGTTCTTTTTAAATTTTTTTTCTCACACATTTTCCTAAAAAGTTATATACTACATACACTAAATTCAATTTTCTATTTACTCCCTATACACTAAATTCTTCTCATTTATTCCCTATTCTTCTTAATTTATTCATCTTAACTCCCTATTCACTTGAAATTCCTACAGTACCCTTATTTATTTTCTTTTATTAACTTCAATTTTTTTTGTTATCTTCACATATAACACTTAATTTCTACTATATAATTTCAATTTTTTACTATTAAAAAATAAAAAATAAGTAGATAGACAACAATATGAAAAATAAACAATTTTAAAAATATATATATTTGCAACCATTAAATAATAATACAAAATATTATAGAAAATATCAATGTACGTGATACTCAATTTTGCAAATATTGTTAAACAATAAGTAGATTTATTTTATATATAAATACTTACAAATAAATTACATGTATATATATATATATTTAAATGTCCACAACTATTAAATTTTAATACAAAATATTTATAAAGAATATTAATTTTTGATTGAATAAAGTATTAATAAGTTAATGAACATGTACTTCGAACATTCTGTATCGTTCGTCATCATTTTGTGAAATAATAATAATAATAATAAAATTGATAATTGTTTACATAAATTAAGGGTTCTGGGTTAGATTAGGTATATAAAATTATAAATAAAATATTATTTTGAGGACAAAATTGGAAATTTATAGGTGAAAATTTATAAAATCATAAATGGAGAGTTGTAATGAATAAATAGGGAGTTACAAACAAATATATGAATAGAGACTGACCATGAAAACAATTTGCGAAATAAGAATTTTAGGAGAATTAACGGTTTTTTATATTCTCTACAATATTCCCTATATCTCATATAATTTTTTTTATTCCCAAAAATCTAACAAAATAAGCACACCCTGTATTTTTCTAAAAATATATATATTTTTTTCTCTCATAAAATATTTTATCAAATATTATTTAAATACAAAAATTAAATCAAAACTTCCCAAACATAACTCAAAGAAACATAGCCTAATTTTCCAAGGAGTGAGCTAAAGTAAGCAAACATCAAATCCATTAAACTTTATATCAACTTACACCATCTTCATTTCTTCTTTTATTACACTATTTTTTCTATTAATTTTCTTTAACAAAAAAATAATGAATATCTTGTAATATATTAAAAAGAACACGGCCAATATTATAAGTAATGAATGTGTGTAATATATTATTTTTTGAAAAAAATATGTGAAATGTTTTCACAAGAAGAACACGCCCAATATTATACTAATTTTGATAAACATTATTTTTTTTTTTGTATCTTAAAATTTTTATTTTATAAATATATTTATTAATTTCTGTTATAAATTAGATTGATGAATTATGCATGTATCGATAAATTAATTAAAATGTATAAATTATGAGTAATAAAAAGTATTTTTTTTTTTATTAAAAAATATATATCTATGATAAGACTCATATCATTTAATATAGCCCCATATAATATAGTTACAATTATTCTGATCACACTTCTTTATCACTTTACTATACAATTTAATATATAAATACATTATTTATTGTCATATTAACCATTATGGATAAAATTTCACTACTCATGGGTTGTTTATAAATACATTATTTATTGTTATACTACTTCGTCCCCTCCATAACAATCTGTGCATTTTTTTATTTTTATTTGTTTCATAAAAAAAATATTTATTTTTATTTTTAATAATTGTACTATCTACCTAACATTACAAATACTTCTATATTGATTTTACTGTTATATTTAAATTTTGTAGTATTTTTATAATTCATAATATTTTATATTCTACAAGATGATACAAATATTGAATATATTTTATCAATTTGAAATTTAATATATATAAATACAAATATTAAATAAATAATTTTTTAATAAATCAACATATTGACAAATAATAATATAATATAATAAGTATAATAATTAAATAAATAATTAATACTACAAATTAAAACTATAATTAAAAAATAATATATATATATAATATAAAAATAAAAATTTATTAAAAAATTAAGGTGAATATCTTTGTTGTGAATATAAAATAGAAGGGAGAGAGAATGTGACGTGGAGAAGAAAAAGTAGTGGAGATACCCAAAATTCTGATGGTCTAACAGGGTTAATTTAGTTTGTTTACTTTATCCCAATATAATATTAATATTTCTAAAACTCCGGTAAAAAACAAATGAATATATAGATATAAAAAAGAGGGACAATTAACCATTATGGATTATGGGTTGTTTGGTTAAAAGACTTGGTATGTTTGATTAAAAATTAGTAATAATATTTAAAAGTGAATGAAATTTTAAAATTTCGCAAATAAAGATTTTTTCTAATAATATTGCATTTCATATTTTACCATTTTAAATAAATTAATAATTTTTAATTAGCTTGATTGACAAAGTTCAATTACTTGAAATCATATCAATTAATAATTATTATTTTATTCGGTCCAATATATTTTTACTCATCAAAAACTTGGTTGTGCAAAATTTTGAATTTAACTGTTTGTAATATAAATTCCACCAAGTATTTACATTAATTTATCCAACATGGAAAACATCACATGTACTGCTTATTTATATCATATTAATTAAATGTTTTATTCAATTATTTTTTTTTTAAATTCTTCAAAACTTCAAACTTTTGAAATATTTATCTAAACTAAGCATTAGTTGTCTGATTGTAATTTCAAATTGAAATCAACATAATTCACCACATATAATTTTCAATAAAAAAATACTATATATGATTAAATAAATTAATATAAATATTAAATTTATTTAATTAATATTTATTTATGATTTAAATATATATAATTAAAATAAATTTAAAATATATCATAAAGTATTTTAAAAAGTATGCTTTAATAAAATATATTCAATATGAATGTCATTTTGAAAAGAAAATTTTTATATACCACATATATTTATACATGATTAATATAAATTAATTCTATTATTGAAAGAATATATAATATGAAATTAGTGATGTATTTTTGTACAAATTTAATTTTTTAAGTGAAATAATTATTTAACAACAAAAGGTCCCATGTAAAATCAACACAATATTGTTTGTCTTCAATAAGCACAGTAACACCTGTTATATATGTATTTATCTATATATAGTACAAGATTATTGAGTACAAAATAGATAGAATAGATGGATGATACTTTTGTTGTATGCAAAATGAACAAGAAGACTCTATGCCTCCTCTTCCTTTCCCTCATGGTATTCTCCTTACTTCACTCTAATAATTATTTGCATATTTCAATTATATATATATATATATATATATATATTACTTAGGGTGGAAATAGGCCAGACCAAACCAGCTTTTCCTTAAATAGGCCAGGTCTATTTTATAAAACTAAAGTCTAAGCCTGGCCTATCGGCCTATTAAAATATATATCTAAGGTGTAGATCTGACTTACTTAAAGTTTAGTTTGACGAGCTTATTTAAAAGCCTATATAATATTTTTTTTATTTTTTATTTTTCAAACTTAATATTTGTAGAAAAATATATACAATTATTTATTATATATAATAAATCAGTTAAAATAAATTATATTTTTAGTTTTTATTGTCACCAAATATAACTTTTTTATAAATTATAAACAATTAAAAACATAATATTTATATATATTAGATAAAAAAAATATATTATATAAATATATAAATAGGCCGGCCTGATAGGCCAAAATTTTTTTTTTAGTAAAACCTAAGTCTGTTCTATTTATTTTAAAAAATTTAAAAATATATCTGAATTTAGCCTTGTTAGTAAACAGGCAGGCCAGGCTAGGCCTTATGCAGGCCCCTGACAGGCGGCGTTGACCTATTTCCATCCCTAAATGTTACTACAAGTGAATATCTAACTAAGTTTAGATTAGATTAGAACTTGGTATTCTGAAAACTTGGAATTGTTTAGGAAAGCCGACAAGTAATGTAGCGTTAAAATATATTGTTGTAGTATTTTATATTTGCATTGTGTATTATATTAATACATTATCTTTTGATTGTGTAGTTTGCAAGTACTTGTGTTATCGGTGCAAGAATCTATCCAGATGGTAAATATATTTACGACACAAAGAGCAAAGAACGTCACTCCTCCGAGGCAACACGAATGCATATTGATCATTTCAAGATTCGTGAGAAAAAATCGTTTCTAAAAGACTTTGAGCCAAGGCCTAGTGGTTCTGCTTACAGTGATGATCAAAACCCTGAAAACAAGATTTCATTTGTGCAAAATTCTGAGCAGGAGCCTACTTCGACAGGTTATGTTGGTAATAAAAATCTTACTGCCTATGTTAGGAATCTAAAGCCTCAAAACAAAAACTCTTCCACAAAAGAATTTCAATCAAAGCAAAGTGATACAACATATATGAAAGATCTCAAGTCAGGAGAAGATAAGAAATCATTTCAAGAAGATTTTGAGCCAAGGCCAAATCTTTCTGTCTATGATGGGTGAAATGGAAATGTATTATTACAATTTGTGTGTATTTTCATTTAGTATTATTGATTTGCCTGAAAACATATATATATATATATATATATGTGTGTGAGAATAGTAAGGATGTTGAATGTAGATAATTAGCATCATGTTGATTAGCTCATTCAACACGTGAAAATACATTAGACAATATATAAAAATAAATCGGACAACACATGTTCGTATAAATCGTTAGCATGCGTTGTTTGTTTTAGTTTATACGTATGCTATGTTAATGTGTATTGTATGTTGAGATTGGTTGTAATTTGTACTTTGTGGACTATTTATGTGCTATATTAATTTTTATATTTCATATGTACTGAATGAGAAATCAATATGGTGTTGATTTACCCCTGTTTAGCAATAGTAAACAATCAGATTATCCCATAACTTTTATTGTAATAAAAAATAGATACTTTTGAACGGAACATACAAAAAAACAAAAAATCTCAGTTAGAAGAAAAGTATTAATATTGGGATGGAGGTATTAATTTTCGTAAAAAACATTATATACAAACAACTATGTAACCAAAAAAAGAAAAATGATCAAACTAATTTATACTTTTTCTAACATTCAAAATTCCTTATTCATGTAAAACATCAAAATCACATTGGATACATATTTTGTTTTAAATTGTTACATCCTATATTTATTTTACATATAAAACAACACACACTAAACAATAATTTGGTTTCGATTCTGGGCTTTAATATGAATAATATCTTAATGTAATATTTTACGGAAAAAAAAAGTATATTTTTATTAAAAATCTTTTGAACTATTGAATGGTATTAATTTGGATTTCAAATCAAACTAAATACACTCAAAATATTATATATATATATATACACACGTGCAAGCAAGAAGTTCTGGAAATTATACATGGCTAACAAGAGTGCCAAAAATATTTCATCAAATATATATATATATATATATATTACAAAACATCAAACTCAGGAGCTGTTTGCTTCAAGAATTTAATGGAATTTGGATTTTAAAATCCCATAAAATTCATGTTTGGTTAATAATAAAATGATGGAATTTAAAATGATGAAATTTAAAAAATGAGTCCAAAATCCTACAAATGAATGATTTTTTTGTTATAGGAGTACCCTGTTACTTTTAAATTCTATTATTTGAAATTTTACTTTTTACTTTTATATCCTCTATAATATTATATATTATAAATATATTTATATTTAATAAAATTAATTATTATTTAAATTATATATTTAATTAAATTTATATTATTTTTTATAGTACAATATTTTTTTAAATAAATAAATTAATTCATTGTTTAAAATTATTATTTATTATAAATTTTATTTGAATTATAAAATTTTAGGAATGACAATTGGTCGGGTTCAGTAGGAACTGAAATTCATTTTGAAGATATAATATTAGATTCGAGATTCAAATTGAATTCGATTATACCAGATCCAATCGAAACTATACCCGGTAAGACCGGGATCCGAAAAATCACATTTTTTTTACAATTTTAAAATTTTAATTTAAAATTATCATGCACGAGACTTAACAAATATTAAAATATATGTATTTTATTTTCAAAAATATCATAATAAAATAATAAATAAGTTAATCTTAAAATTTATTTTAAATATAATTATATTGTTAAAAATTATTTTTTCAAACGTTTGAAATATTATTAATAGATTACCTCGAACATGACCGAGATTGCACAGAACTTCAATAAATAGGGTCAATCCTGACTCCTGCTGCTGCACTCGTTCGCAAAGTATTTATTTTCGAGCACTCTGTTAATGACGTCCGATAGTCGCGGTTCAGAGCATCAGCTACACGTATGCGGAGAGGTTCCCGCCGGCGATGGAACAGTTCAATCAGCAGAAGCTTCTGATAGAGAAAGTCAGATCTGTCGAAATCTACAAGACCAGAAACAGCTTAATGCATCATCACACAATGTCGAAACATCCATGGCGGTTGCAGTAAACATCGCCGGCAGCGACGAAAACAACAACAACAATGGAGGTACTAACACAGAAGTTCCTTCTTCTAGATTAACTCATGGTAAGAAAATATCGGTCCTCCCTCTCGTTTTCCTCATATTCTACGAGGTTTCCGGAGGAGCGTTTGGGATCGAAGACAGCGTCGGCGCAGCCGGTCCTCTGCTCACACTGGTCGGGATTCTCGTGTTCCCGTTCTTCTGGAGCATTCCGGAAGCTCTCATAACCGCAGAGCTGGGGACGATGTTCCCCGAAAACGGTGGCTATGTCGTTTGGGTGTCGTCGGCGTTGGGGCCGTTTTGTGGCTTTCAGCAAGGGTGGTTGAAATGGCTTAGCGGCGTCATCGACAACGCCCTTTATCCGGTGCTTTTCCTCGACTATCTGAAATCGGATATCCCGGCATTGGCCGGAGGATGGCCTAGAGTCGTCGCAGTGTTGGCACTGACGGTTGTTCTTACTTACATGAACTACCGAGGCATGATGATCGTCGGATGGGTCGCGGTGGCGCTCGGGATCTTCTCGCTTCTTCCGTTCATCGCGATGGGGTTCGTTTCGATCCCGAAGCTCCGGCCGAAGCGATGGCTGGCGGCAGACGTTCGTAACGTCGACTGGAGTTTGTACCTCAACACTCTGTTCTGGAACTTGCACTATTGGGATTCGATTAGTACTCTCGCCGGAGAAGTCGAAAACCCGAAGAAAACGCTGCCGAAGGCGCTGTTTTCGGCGATGATCCTCGTCGTGCTTGGGTATTTTCTCCCGCTGTTGTTCGGGATCGGCGCGATTCCCCTGAATCGCGCGGCGTGGGAGGATGGGTACTTCTCCGATGTGGCGAAGATCATCGGCGGCGCATGGCTCGGCTGGTGGGTCCAGGCGGCGGCGGCGATGTCGAACTTGGGGATGTTCATGGCGGAGATGAGCAGCGACTCGTTCCAGCTGCTCGGGATGGCAGAGCGCGGGATGTTGCCGAAGGTTTTCGCGAAACGGTCGCGGCACGGGACGCCGTTCGTCGGGATTCTGTTCTCCGCCTCCGGCGTCGTGCTCCTGTCGTGGCTGAGCTTCAACGAGATCGTCGCCACCGAGAACTTCTTGTATTGTTTCGGGATGATGCTCGAATTCGTAGCGTTTGTGCGGCTGAGGGTGATCGCGCCCACGGCGGCGCGGCCGTATAAGATTCCGATGGGAACGGCGGGGGTGGCGGCGATGTGTGTGCCGCCGACGGTGCTGATGTGCACCGTGTTGGCGCTGTCGTCGGCGAGGGTGGCGCTGGTGAGCTTAGGGGCGGTGGTGGTGGGGCTGATATTGCAGCCGTGTATGAAGCATGTTGAGAAGAAGACATGGGTTAAGTTTCGGGTGAGTTCTGAACTTCCCGATATTCGGGCTAATATTCGGACATGATCATACCTTGATCACAACGAACTTCACGTGTGATTCATGTTCGTTTTTTTAGGATTTGTCAATTTACAAGTAAATAAAAAAAAAAAACTTTAAATAAATATGTCGAATCCGAGTCGGGTCTCGAGTTTAAGCGAATCTATTGTCATCTCTATAAAATTATGATATCTTTTCAATTTATATTAATAATAAATTAGATGTTTAATTTACCAAATAAAATAAAATTAATATGAAGATAATTATGTCATTTAGAATATAAAAAACTCAAATCCTCAACTCATATAAAAACACAAACAAGATTTGAAAAATATAAATCACGTATAATTTTATCAACCAAACATAGGTAGGATTCCAAATCCCAAGTATAATAAATCTCATTATATATAAATTCTACTGTCGAAATCTCAATTTTATAAAAAAAATCCATAAACCAATCAACTCCTAAGGGTTTGTTTCTTTACCACAATTTCTCCTAATTTTATTATTTAAATTGCATTTCTCGAAAAATGTTACATTTTTTTTTTCTCACAAAATATTCCATCAAACATTAATTTTATACTAAACTCAAATCAATTTTTTTCCAAACTCATCAAAAAAAGAAACACCCTAAATTATGCAATTGTTTATTTTTCTTTAAAAATAAAATAAAATTCAAAACTCAAAAAGTCATTAGAGTTTAATTTAAATAAAAAAGTAGAGGGACATGAAGAAAAACCATAATTTTTTTATTATTATTATTGGAATGAATGAAAGGAGGAAATGCTAAAAACTAAAAATGGAAATTAAGGGACATTTTAGTTTCCTTGTTTGTAGGAAACTGGTGAGAAGGGCAACTTCAATTTTGTGTGTCATGAAGAAGTTTGTATGAATGATATCATGATGTTTATTATTATTACTGATTTCAGAATCTTCTCTGCCCAGCCCTGCCCTGCCCTGCCCTTCTCCTAAAGGCCCTTATCCCTTTCTCTCCTCCTTTATTCATTCATTCATACATACAAAGAAAATTGAGAATATGATTCTCTTCACTTTTTAAATTATTATAACAACAATTCTGCTTAATTCTATCTGTTTTCTGATTTAATTTTTTTTTTTTCTAAAAAACATATATATATATATATATATTTCTAAAGGGTTGTCTGAATGAACATTGGATATTAGGAGGGTGTCATCTTAGGGGAAGGCGGGGTACTTTTGTAATTTCAGCGATTTGGTCGGATCTGACAGGTTGACCTTCCCAATTTGTCAACTCGTTGACGATGTCGTCTTCCTACGGAGACGGTACCTTTTCGGATAATTCTATGACGGGTGACGCATCCGCGTCGCCCCCTCCGCCGCCGTCTTCGTCTGATTTCTCTTCTTCCTCGTCATCCTCCTCCACCTCCTCCTCCCCGCCGCCGCCGCCGCCGTCGTCCGATGGCTCTTCCTCCTCGTACTCGCCGCCGTCGGATGGTTCTTCCTCATCGCCGCCGCCGCCGTCGCCGTCGTCGGGCGGCGATTCGTCTTCTGAATCGTATAACCAGTCGAAATCAGAAGGAAATTATAGCAATGGCGATAATGGTAAATCGTCCAAATCTGACTCGTCCGGTGGAGATTCGCCGCCGGTGGACGGCTCTTCCGGCGGATCATCGATGAAGGAGCTGCCGAAATCGTCGCAGGAGAATCAAAAAGCCATCATCGCCGGCGCCGCCGCGTCGGCGGCGCTGCTGCTCATCATCGTCATTCTGTGCTGCGTCTGCTGTTGCCGGAAAAGAAAACGCCGCCATAAATACTACCATGAAAATCCCCATTCCCACGCAAGTCCGTCTCCATTAATCAATCTCCATTAACAACATCTCAAATCATCTTCAATCCCAATTTCGATCCGATTAACAATAATCAATCCGCCGCAGGCAACGATTACTACAGCAGCGGATTCGACGGCAACGTGAAGATGACTCCGCCGCCGCCGGGGAGCGGCGGCGGGATGAGCTCAGACCACAGCTGGATGCCTCCAGCGGCGGCGGCGATGATGAGCAGCGGCGGCGAGATGAGCTCCGGGTACTCTGGAGGCGGGATGGGAATTGGGGGGTACAACCAGGGAAGCTTCACGTACAACGATCTAGCGGCGGCGACGGAGGGTTTTTGTGAGGCGAATCTGCTAGGGCAGGGAGGATTCGGGTACGTCCACAAAGGCGTCCTTCCAAACGGGAAGGAAGTTGCAGTGAAGAGCTTGAAATCGAACAGCGGGCAAGGCGAGCGTGAGTTTCAGGCGGAGGTTGAGATCATCAGCCGCGTCCACCACCGCCATCTGGTGTCGCTGGTCGGCTACTGCACCGCCGGAGCTCAGAGGATGCTCGTTTATGAATTCGTCGACAATGGAACTCTTGAATTTCACCTTTACGGTATATATATATATTTTGTTTTTTTATTGATTTATTGATTTAATTTCCAATATTTTAATTAAGGGTAAACTGTTTTTATAGAATCTATCTTATGGTTTTATCATTTTGGTACTTAATGAATCATGTTTGAAAATAGTGTTATAAGGAAAAAAATTTCGCTAAAATGGTCCTCTAGTGCCGGAATCGGCATGTTGGCAGCCATTGTTGGCTGGCATGTCATCGTCACGTAGATGCCATGTTGGAGGACCATTTTAGCGAAAAAATTTTACTTACGGAACCATTTTAGCGAAAAAATTTTACTTACGAAACCATTTTGAGACATAGTCCATTTAAATATTCTAAAAATGATAAATTGGGTCATATACAAGACAGAAAAAATAGTTCACTAAAATATTTTGTAAAATTGAATTTTTTTAAAAAAAATTCACGAGTTGCTGATGTAGCATCTATAGGGCAATAACATGTGAGCCACGTCAGCGCCACATCATCCCAGTGTGGCGAGTTCCGCACACAGAAATTATTTTAACAAAAAAAAAAAATTAGTTAGGAGAGTAAAAACAATTTACCGTTTAATTAGTTCTTAAATATATTGTGAAGGAGCTGGTCGACCGACGATGGAATGGGCAACCAGGCTTAAAATTGCATTAGGGGCTGCAAAAGGATTTGCTTACCTTCACGAAGACTGTGAGAAAATGATTAATAAATATACTTATATTTATTTATACAGATATATATTTGAAATTAATGGTGTGATTTTTACGAGAAACATGCATGCATGCAGGCAATCCGAGAATCATCCACAGGGATATTAAAACAGCAAATATTTTAATAGATCGACAATTTGAGGCTAAGGTACGTAAATATAAGCATTTACGGGCATATATATAAATTAATAAATATATATAGCAATAAATTTAATTTGATTTTATAGTCGATCTCTACATATGAATGTGTAGGTGGCAGATTTTGGCCTGGCTAAGCTTTCTTCAGACACAAATACACATGTTTCGACTCGAATCATGGGGACATTTGGGTACATTATATATATATAACTTTTTTTTTTAATGATTTTTTGAATTATATAATTAATTTATTATTCATGAAGGTATTTGGCGCCGGAATACGCATCGACCGGTAAGCTAACTGAAAAATCGGATGTATACTCATTCGGGGTGGTGCTTTTGGAGCTCATAACTGGCCGGCGCCCCATCGATCTCACCAGAGATGACGACGACGACACCTTGGTCGATTGGGTACGTACAAATTCATAGTTACTTAATTAGTCTTCCTCGCTTGCTTTTTGAATTTCTCTTGTTCATTTAAAAAAGATTAAATTGTAGATCAAGAAATCGATTTTTTTGTGTTGCATAACTTACTAAATTGAAGACTAGTATTTCAAAACAGCCTTACACTACTCATAAACAATTTGTTCCAAATTTTCCTACAAAACTTTGCTCTCGTTGGATCATTTGTAATACATTTTTCTAAGTTTTTAATAAAACTAGTGTGTTTCTTTTGATAAATTTGAAAAAAAATTGGTTTGAATTTGTTATGAAAATAATGTTTGATGGGATATTTTATAAAAAAAAATATGTATTTTTTTCGGAAAACACTGAGTTCAAATAATAAAATTTGAAAAAATCTTCCTAAAGAAACAAACCCTAGTCTATCACTGTAATTCACTATATGGGTATAAGATTGGTTGTCCTTCTCCCTATAGTGTCTCTCATGTGTTCTCTCACATGTGTATAAATATTGTTGAATATTGTCTCACATAGAAAAAAAAAAAATGTAAGAACTTCTTATTGTTTATAAGGGTGAAAACCTATTTTACTCAATACTAATTAATTTTAAATAAAAACTCTGAATTTCTTCATAATATAATATCAATATTGATCTGGTTAAGATTTTGAAATTATCATCTCCGGAAAAGGGTATCGAATATTGTTTCACATATAAAAAAAAATGGAAATTCCTTATTGTTTATAAAGATGAAAATCTATTTCACTTAATACTAACTGATTTTAAATTTCTGAATTTCTTCATAATATAATATCAATATTGCTCTGGTTAGAATTTCGAAATTATCATCTTACGAAAAGATTATTAAATATTGTCTAAGCATAGAAAAAATATGTAGAAACTTCATAACCTTTATATTTACTATATATCGGAAAAAGGATATTGTCGTACATGTGTTATTAACACATAGACACTCCAAGTGCACAATATACAATTATTGTCCTTATTTTCAATTTCTAATACAAATTCAAATTCAAATCCAAATTCAGGCGAGGCCGATTTTGATGAGTGTTCAAGAAGGCGGAAGTTTCGAGGAGCTAGTCGATCCACGCCTTGGCAACAACTACAACCCCCCCGAGATGCTCCGTATGGTTCATTGCGCCGCGGCCGCTATCCGTCAATCTGCCCGAAGGCGCCCCAAAATGAGCAAGGTTCGATTAATATACACACATACATACACATATATATATATAGACACGATTTTTTGGCCGAGAATCCCAACCAATAAGTCGTGTTCTAATAAACACGCGCACACCGGTACACGTACAGTTGGTCCGGGTACTCGAAGGCGATGTATCTTTAGAAGATCTTAACGAGGGGATAAAGGCCACGCCGAGCAGCGCGACGTTGGCGTCGAGCGGGTCAGATTACGACGGCAGCAGAATGAGGAGCAGCGGAAATGTGCCGTCGAGCCAAGAGTTCAGCAGCGACGAGTACGTGCACTCCGCCGCCGCCAGCACCTCGCCGGCACCCAACCTCCCGCGCCCGCCGGCACTTTAATTTGAAAAAGATAACAACTTGACATTGAAAATGATATATATAAAATTATTGTTTTTATTTATTTTTTGAAATTATATATAATTTGACTCGACTGTTCATGGGATGTATTTTTACATGCAAAATTTAATTATAAGGAGAGTGGTCGTGGAAATGGTTAATACTTCCATTAAATATTTGATCGTATTTATAAATATAAATAAACTATATGGTGAAAAGAACTGAAATATTTGTGTAGTTCAAGATAAAGGGCAGATGACTTAAATAAATACTAAAATATTCGTCCATTTACATGTATTTGTTTAGTTTTTTTTGTTTTTTTTATCTAAATTAAAAAATATTACATATGTAGTAAATAATTTATATGAATACTTATAAAAATATAATTGATAAATTATAAAATAAGATAGTAGTATTAATAATTTGTGGAAAATATAAGATAATCGCACCATTGTTTATGATATATTTATTAAATTAAAAATAAACTACAAAAAAAAAAAAAAGGAAACTATGAAATTGCGAGGAAAACTTTCCCTGGCAAATGCAGATTTTCATGTCTCCCAAAAAATTTATGATCCATCCATTCTTGTTGTAGCTATATTGCGACAAAATTTGCGAGGAATATTCTTGCAAGATTTTTGCGAGTGATAATAAATTGAATATAATTTGGTATTTACAACATATTTTATTCCTTGTAAAATTTTTGTGATGTATAATATCCGAAGTTTTTTTATTTATTTTTTATCGTGATTTTAGGGATTGAACTCGTTTTTGTTTTCTTCCTAAAAACTCTTCAGAGCATCAATGTGCTAAATGTGATGGTCAACGTTCTAAATCAATCATCTTACCGAGTTTCTATCTTCGCTCCGGATGCTACTGAATGTCTATATATCATGTGATACGATTGTTGCTACTGAACTACAATTGCTCACTCGGCACAATAGGTGATAAAGTATCCAATTCGAAGATATGATTTATTAGGAATCATGAGCAAAATACCTTATTTTTGTTGAATTTGGTGTTGCATTGCTGCGTCAAATCCAGCTCTATCGCATTCAAATCATTTTAAAATTTTCAAGAATTAATGTAATCAACATGAATTAAAAATTATATTTGTAGTTCTCAGCTTAACTTACGTCAATTTGGAAAGCTTTTTGGGTTGATGTAGTTAACCCGATCATGGTGCTTTGTCTGAGGCCATGCATACTAAGTTATCTAGTCACTATATTAGGATTAAGACAATATACACATATCACTACAATATATATGACATATGTTTTTGAAGTAAGAATTTAGTACCATTTTTTTGCTTATTTCAAAACATTTTCTGTCGTCAATTCTTCTTTGCGGTCTCCGACTTTTTCTTGGCTTCCTCGGAGTTCTAGACCCTCTTTCACTCGGCCAATATGTCCATATAGAGATTGCGGGCGCCACTCTTATCATGTTCATTTCAAATGCCATATAATCAGTTGTTGTTGGCACTCTGAGTCTTTTAGGGTTTGTTTGTTTGGAAGTTTTGATTTTGAGTTGGGATTTGAATAGTAAAAATTTTGAATTTGAATAGTTATATGATGTGATATAAATATGTGTTGATGTAATGTTTTGAATATAAAATTGATTTTTAGTATAATATAAAAAAATAAAAATAAGTAATTGATTTGATATTTTTGAAGAAAAAAATGAGATGAATAGTTTTTGTGGGGAAAAATCCCCCAACCAAACACACCCTATTGTATTCATACAGGACTTTTCACTAATTGGTGGGATTTCGGGGTTGCACTGTGTTTGTTTGGAGGTTTTTGGATTTTGAATTAAAATTGAATAATAAAAATTTTGAATTAAACTAGTTGTATGATTTGATATAAATATGTGATGATATGATATTTTGAATATAAAAGTAATTTTCAATATAATATAATAAATAAAAATAAGTATTTGATTTGATATTTTTTTTAAAAAAAAATTGATGAATGATATAAATTTGAAGAAATTTTGTAAACAAACACGCCCTAATGTACTTCTGCAATTTTAATTAATATAATATTATATTGGTTAATTGTAATAATTCATAAATATAAAATAATTTCACTTTACATTGATTCTATTGTTGCGTTGGCTCAAAAATATTAAAAATAATTTGAAAATGAATCATTTATAATCAATATATAAAATAAATATTTTTACTTAAATTAAAAATATATTATTATATATAATTATTTTTATATATAAAATCAAATGATAATATCAAACATTAACGTATGTAGAAATATATATCAATTTTAATTATAAAAAAAGAAAAGGGATGTTACCAAATTTCATATTTATAAGCTGAGCTACAATGTCTTATTAACAAACGGTAAATGTAGAGATCCGCACAAACGCCCCGACAACTATTGGCGTCAAATAGCGTTGCAGCTTTGACAAGAGAGAATAGAATAGAAGAGGAGGAGAGATCTACCTGCACTCCCCCCACTCTCTCTACTCCAGTTTTCTTTTTGCACATTTACCAGAGTAACTGAGGGAAGATCCGCCCATTGTCCTCACAGGATTGTTGATCTCTGCCACCGGCGCATTTGATTCGGATCCAAGGAATATCTACACGCGATGGCGCAACCGCTTGTCAAGAAAGACGACGATCGCGACGAAGAAGGTGCATTTCTCGAACTCGATTCATTCGTACTGAGATACTTTTAATTCACCAATTGATTTGATTCTGTCCTTCGCATTTGGTTTATATGTCGAACTTGATCTCGGATTCAGATCTGCGATGTTCTTCGAATTCGGAATTACAGGTACCGACGGTCTGCGAGAATAGAATTGATTCTCAGTTAGGATTCCTCAGAGGAAGGAATTGATTTGTCTTTCCGCTGTATAAAAGTTAGCGAATATACCAGTGTTTCTTGGTGTGACTCGCATTAACTTAGAATTGAGTCAATCGTAGCTCTGATGTGCATTTTGGCTTTACCAGATTTCAAGTCAGCCTTAGATCTATCTGTCGTTCTTTATTTTAGAAACACGGATTTGATGAGTTGAGCAATCGGAATAGGAGATTGAACTCTTGTTAATGTTATTCACATTGGTGGTACTGACGAGCTGGAGTATCTCAGTTTCATTCTTATTTAGAACTCCTGTACTGCTGTATCTGATGCAGGGAAGGCAGATTTAGTTGATTTATCCATTTTTTAGTGTCAATTTTTTTATTTCATTTAAGAGGTTAACATTGAACAAATTTGTGCTATATGCATGATGTTTGGAGTTTGGTTATGTCCTAATTAGGTTTATATATTATTATGTTGCACTTTCAAACTTGCAGTGGAGTACTCCCCTTTTTTCGGGATCGAGAAGGGCGCAGTGTTGCAGGAAGCTAGGGTGTTCAATGACCCTCAATTGGATGCAAGGAGATGTTCACAGGTAATTCTACTTCTTCTTGTTTTTATAATTTTCTCTTTTTTCCATTTCCATCTTATCAATGTTTTCCTCTGGGATCAAGGTAATATAGGGGTTTCATTTCCTTCCTGTAGGTCATTACAAAGCTTCTATATCTTCTAAATCAGGGAGAAACATTCACAAAGGTCAGACTCCCCAGTTATTATTGCCTCCAATATCTATACTCAATACACACACTACCACACATCTTCAGAGTTTCGGATGACAGAAACACTAACACCAACTGTGATGCTATATGCTTTGAGTAATAATCCAGTATTGCTTGTGGCAAGTGGAAACTGGGTAATATTGAATATCATCTTGGTTAGCTTGTACAGAATAGGCTATGCGACACTACACGAATGGTCCCATCTTGGTGTCCTTGTAGGCTTACCAAAAACATTAGTGTTTGGGCATGATAAATGCTTGCTACCTTTCATGCATGTGTTATTGCCAATCTACCATAGAATATTTTGAAGGTTAAAATGGTTCAGACTTCCATTTATACTAGTTGGCGCAAACATTTTGTACTATTGAGATAAATGTTAACTTTCTCCATGTTCAATCCTTTGCTTTGTTAGGCATGCGTTTTTGCCAATCCATCATAGAATATTTCATAAAAAATTACATCCTTGCTTAAATTCAAACCCTTAGTACCACATGAGCACTAACCCTGAGCTCCTCAACTCAAAAATAATGAAAAATACTCCTTGTAAGTCCACTTGCAACAAAGTGAACATATATTCTTAGGAAACTCAATAATATCCCTTGGCATGTTCTTAGGATACTCTTATCTATTCATTCATTCCCATGAGCTACTTTTAGGACTTGCACAAAAAGTTTCATCCCAATGTAAGGCACGTAAATTTTCTCCACATTCACGCTGTTGATATGCATATATAGTAAAGAAGTCTTGAGTATACTGAGATTGTGATATAATCCTCCTTCCATGATCAATAGTTGATCAATCAGCATGCTCACTCTGGATTAAGGATCTGGCTGATCCTCATTCTTCACCCTGGTTGGGTACATTCCATCAGCATGCCCCAGAGTGCTGCTACACCTTGTTAGCTACCATCTTGGCTCCCATCTCTATCTACACCTTCTTGTCTGTACCATGTGGCATTTCTATAGCAACATTTTCCTTTTTGAAATTCATCATTGCCTTTTTCACTGAATATTCTTCTCAGCAAAAACTTGTTGAAATTGGTGCACTATAAAGCCTAAAAATATCCTTTTGACAGCCATGGAGCAAACTTGCCCTTATCCACTTATGCATATGCGTCATTGAAAAACACTAAGCACTCAACAGGAACAATATGCTATACATCTTCTAGAGCTCTAAAGTTAGCCTTCAAATGAGGAAAATGATTCACCATGTAGTGCACCACTTATACTGCAGCAGTCAAGAGCTTATATGCTCCTGTTTTCAGAATTTTCTTGTGTACCTATGCTATGAACACTGCAAAACACTCCACAAAATTTTGAATCCTGATCTTTTCTCTACTTCCACGTTAGCTTCCTTGTATGAAGAGAATAGACCAAATGTTTGTATGATATTATTTAGCTTTTTGTTAGCAAATGTATTTGCTTGCTTCTATGTATGATGTTTTTTTCTTCTTAATTTCCAGGTTGAGGCTACTGAAGTATTTTTTGCTGTCACGAAGCTGTTTCAGTCCAAAGATATTGGATTGAGAAGGATGGTTTATTTAATGATAAAGGAGCTTTCTCCCTCTGCAGATGAGGTAACTTGGGTGTATGTTATATTTCTTTAGCTGAGCTGAATAGGTTGTTGCTGCTTCCATGCTTTCCTCGGAAGTGGACAATTAACTTTTTCGTTTTTTTCTGGTCAGGTTATTATTGTCACTAGCTCCCTAATGAAAGATATGAATAGCCGCACAGATATGTATCGGGCGAATGCTATCCGTGTGCTGTGTAGGATTACTGATGGAACATTGTTGACGCAAATAGAGAGATACCTAAAGCAGGCTATTGTGGACAAAAATCCAGTGGTTGCTAGTGCTGCCCTTGTGAGCGGCATTCATCTGCTACAGGTACAGTTTTTGAGTTGTAGTATTTGTACCTATTACATCATTAAAATTCTCGAGGTTTATATGAATGATATTATTTTAACAGACAAATCCAGAGATAGTAAAAAGATGGAGTAATGAAGTACAAGAAGCTGTTCAATCTCGTGCTGCTCTTGTACAATTCCATGCACTTGCTCTGCTCCACCAGGTAACTTGATTTATAATGTGGTAAAATATAATAGAACAATTCTTTCACCATCAAGTCCCCAGCTTGGGCTTTTCCTTTGTCATGAACTGAATTTAGATGAATTATAGGTAAGATTTGTTATTGCTGTACTATGCTTGTTTCAGTTCCATGATTAAGTCCCTTTGAGCATCATGCAGACCTTTTTGCACATAGAATTTTGCTTTATTTATCTTTTATTTTTGGGCAGGTTTTTCTCTTTTTGAAAATTTAAATAAAAATGAGATTTTCTGTTGATTTTGAAGCATGGAGAAGTCCCAAATATTACCAAGCTGGTTTGTGTCTTTACAAGTAATGTCTGACTTTGCAGATCCGACAAAATGATCGATTAGCAGTAAGCAAGTTGGTTACAAGCTTGACAAAGGGCAGTGTTCGTTCTCCATTAGCACAGTGTCTATTGATTCGCTATACTTGTCAGGTGTTATATTTAAAATTTTATGAGGATTTGTGAATTGACTTTTGCTTTTGATTTTTCACTGAGACTACATTGGTTCTGGAGTTATATAGGTTATCAGAGAGTCAGGGGTTAATCTCCAGACAGGAGACCGCCCATTCTATGACTATCTAGAGGGTTGCCTACGTCATAAAGCTGAAATGGTTATCTTTGAAGCAGCTAAGGCAATCACAGAGTTAAGCAATGTAACTACTCGGGAGTTGACTCCTGCCATAACTGTTATGCAACTTTTCCTAAGCTCTTCAAAGCCAGTGCTTAGGTTTGCAGCTATTCGAACTTTGAATAAGGTATGTGTTCCTATACAGATTGAATCCGGTCTTCTGAATATATGATTCTTTTACCATTAATTAATATTTGGTAATTATGTTCTTTCCTTAAATTCTTTGGATTTAGTTCTTTCTTCTTACTTCAGTCAGTGTTTGTTATAAATGCATTTACTTAAATGGTTATCTTATGTTGTCAAGAAAATGGATTAGCCTTTAAAAGTATTCAGCTTGGTGGGTGGTTTGGTTTTAATTAAAGAAGTTTTTATTTATTATAAGTTACCCAGCATGCTCATTATTTATTGAATAAAGTTTTCACAACTGTGGTCCTGAGAATGTGCGTAAGCCTGGCATGAAAATGTCTTTATTAACAATTTTTGCTAATGCTGTGGCTGGAGAAAGTGAATAAGCCTAGCATGAAAATGTATGTCTATTTTCATTTACAATTTCTGCTATGCCTGTGGCTGGAGAAAGTGGATAAGCCTAGCATGCAAATATCTGTGTATCTTCAATAACAATTTCTGCAAATGCAACTCAAAAAGGTCACTGTTGAAGTTTGACCAGACGGCTGCACCTCAACTACATTGATGTAATCTATATATGATTTAGCTTGCTCGACCATATGATATGCATAATGTCTCTGATTGCCAAGAAATAGAGTTTTTTCCTGTTAGAAGCCTGCATCTTATGATTCAACTTGTTCTTGTCCTGTAACTACTGCACAAGCTATTGAGTTCTACTGTGATGTTAAGAATTAATACGAGTATATTAAGAAGAATATGTGCAATTAAAGTAACAACTTCAGGCATGGCCAACTTGATAGTTCCATTTTTATGGTCCTTTTTTAAGTTCTTAGCATTTTTTCTGACCAGCTCTCTTGCTTCAATGCTGCAGGTGGCTATGACACATCCCATGGCTGTGACAAATTGTAACATAGATATGGAAAGCTTGATTTCGGATCAGAATAGAAGTATTGCCACTCTTGCCATTACCACTCTGCTGAAAACAGGAAATGAATCTAGTGTTGACCGCCTGATGAAACAGATTACTAATTTCATGTCTGATATTGCTGATGAATTCAAGATTGTTGTGGTTGAAGCAATTAGATCTTTGTGTCTGAAATTCCCCCTCAAGTACAGATCTTTGTGAGTGATTGCAGAGTTTTCTGTGAAAACCAGAAGTTTACAGAAAAAAACAAAAAAGCACATTTAATTTTTGTATTTCATCATTATTGATCTTCTGGACTTCTTTTTTCAGGATGAATTTCTTAAGTAATATCTTGAGAGAAGAAGGTGGGTTCGAGTACAAAAAGGCAATTGTTGATTCAATTGTAATTTTAATTAGAGATATTCCAGATGCCAAAGAAAGTGGACTTCTGCACTTGTGTGAATTCATTGAAGATTGTGAATTCACATATCTTTCTACCCAGGTCAAATTTTACCTTCGTGGTGGAATTTCCTTTTTTCACTAGGCTACACTTGGGCCAGATTAGATCTATAGAATTTTATTTTATTAATTTCATTTCTCTTTTGATCTTTAGATACTTCACTTTCTTGGGAATGAGGGTCCTAAGACCTCTGATCCTAGTAAATACATCCGGTACATCTACAATCGAGTAATACTTGAGAATGCTACTGTTCGTGCCAGTGCTGTGAGCACACTAGCAAAATTTGGTGCCCTGGTTGAGTCACTGAAAGTAAGACCAAAATTTTTGTTACAACCACCATTGCTAAGAATTATGAATTGCTTACTAGATGTTGGTCTTTCCCTTTGGTGCAGCCTCGTATATTTATTCTGTTGAGGCGTTGCCTTTTCGACACCGATGATGAGGTTAGTTTTATGCCCCCAACCTCCCATTCAAAGATGCTTGTATTACTTCTGGTAGCATATGGATTTATGATCTATTCTGTTTGAGCTTTCATGTGACAAACACCACCATGGGTTGCCAACTAGATAGTATCATAGTAATGTAACAAACAGTATGCATATGCTATACTTTCATTCATTTTGCAGTTTCAACTTCAAATAAGTATAGTTTTTGTGCTGAAAACATGTCTTCAGCTCATTAGGGATACATTACTCCAAGCCTTATTCACCTATTTTTAGCTGGGTTGGATATTATTCCTTCAGTTCTCTAACTATCCTTATGTTATTATGCAATCTTATTATAATACATAATGAATCCATTAAAGGGAAGTGTCGTTTACATTGATTGGTGAGAAAATGAAAAAACAAATAAAATGTTTAAGATGGTTTGGTTATAGTAGAAAGGGAAAGACTTACAAAAATTGAAAGAAGATTATTAGAATAAAAATGTTATATTTGAATTTAGAAGAGTACCTGTTATGATCAAACACTATGGGGGCATGTGATCCATACACCTGATTGAGGGGATAACTGTATGGAAAAATGATGATGATGCTCTAATATCAAGTTGTATTCTCATTAGGCAAATATGTTTGGTGATTATCTTTGTTTTTCGACTTGTAGAGTTTTTTAGTACAAAATACTTTTTGATTTGTCCAAAGATGATCAGATACATTTTATGTGGAAGGCTGTCCTAGTCTCCTAATAGTCTTGCCGTCATATTGTATAGTTTGATACTATTAATGTTTATGCACTTCTCTTTAAGGTGGCATCATTTTGGGTCATGAAACTCATATTTTCTTGCAGGTTCGAGATAGAGCTACACTGTATCTGAACACCCTTGAAGATGATTCAGTCACTGAAAGTGGCAAAGATGTGAAGGAATTTTTGTTTGGGTCGCTTGATGTACCATTGACAAATATGGAGACTAGTTTGAAGAACTATGTAAGTTTTCATGCTAATACGATCTTTGTATATCTAAAGCTTGACTTGTGATTGTTTTATTCTTTTGCTGCTAAATTGAAGCCATGATCTCACTAATGATTTGAAACAGATACAGAATCCTTCCGAAGAACCTTTTGATATAAATTCTGTACCCAAAGAGGTTAAATCTCAGTATCATGCTGAGAAGAAAGCCCCAGGCAAAAAACCAAGCGGTTTGGGTGCTCCACCTGGTGCCCCACCTCCTGTGGCCGATTCTTATGAACGACTTATTTCCTCTATTCCTGAATTCGCAAGCTTTGGGAAGCTTTTCAAGGTTAGTGAACAAAAAAATTATAGATTCTTACCCTGATGTACCTAGTGATTTATAAACTACTGGCCTGCTTATATCATTTTTTCATGCTCTTTTTCAGTCATCAGTACCAGTGGAACTTACAGAAGCTGAAACTGAGTATGCTGTTAATGTTGTCAAGCATATATTTGACAGCCATGTGTTGTTCCAGTACAACTGCACAAATACAATACCAGAACAACTGCTTGAAAATGTAACTAACTTGTTTTAAGTAGTATCTCATCTCCTCCCCCGACTTCAGTTTTAGTATTCTCTTCTAAGCTCTTGTCTTCCTGTGGCTAGGTTTCTGTCATTGTTGACGCCTCTGAAGCTGAGGAGTTCTCTGAAGTTGGAACCAAATCTTTAAAGTCTCTTCCTTATGATACACCAGGCCAAACCTTTGTGGCATTTGAGAAACCTGAAGGGGTCCCTGCAGTTGGAAAATTCTCGAATATGTTGAGATTTACTGTTAAAGAGGTAAAACATGTGTTTCCTTCGATTGGTGTAATTTCCTACGAAGTTATGCATCATCCCCCATGTGTCTTGCTAAATTTTGCTTAGTACTGAGAGAACTCTCCGTTTTCAGTCTATAAATTTTGCTTAGTTGCTTTGCTTACATTGTCGGTTGTACGCTATTGGTTTCTGACATTATACGACATATTCTTTATTCATTGTATTTGCCTCTTGATTACTTTTGTTTCCTCAAATTTTGTGATAGGTTGATACTGCTACTGGTGAGGCTGAAGATGATGGAGTTGAAGATGAGTATCAGCTTGAGGATTTTGAAGTTGTAGCTGCAGATTATATGGTTAAGGTGGGAGTCTCCAACTTTAAGAACGCATGGGAAAGCTTGGATCCCGAGACTGAACGTGTAGATGAATATGGTCTCGGGCCTCGCGAAAGCCTTGCAGAAGCTGTGAATGCTGTCATCAATCTTCTCGGCATGCAACCTTGTGAGGTTAGTCCATCAGTCTCGACACATTCTCAAATGCCCATATAATAATTGTCACGTTGTGTTTCCGCGTTGTTACAACTAGGAGATTTTTACGCTTATGTTTTGCTCGGGATCACTTCCGTTATGCTGTATTGTGTTGTGTTATTTCCAGGGAACAGAAATTGTGGCAAGCAACTCTAGATCGCATTCTTGTTTGTTGTCTGGTGTGTACATAGGCAATGTAAAGGTCCTTGCCCGACTGTCGTTCGGGATCGATGGGACAAGGGAGGTGGCAATGAAGCTGGCAGTGAGGTCGGAGGACGTGACTGTTAGTGACGCCATTCATGAAATTGTTGCCAGCGGGTAATTAATTCTATCCATCCTCTCTCTCTATTTTGTCGCAACGAGTTATTTGCTATCCGTAACATGACGAGATTTGTGAGGTGCCTACATCGGGGAGAAATTCGCGGGGCCTTATGCGTCGTATGCATTCTTTTTTGGTCTGTGGCTGCTGGAGTAGTTTGTTTGTTGATTGTTTGTTTCCTTGAAAGAAAGACTTAGATCGGAATTTTGGAAGGGGAGGGGCGACCCTATTTCATTCTATTATTACTAAACTAAATATTGTTTCACTCTATAGTTGTGTATGATTTTCTATAATAAAATTAAATGTGGTACAAATTTCTTCATTGGAAATTGGGGTTTTCTTGCTGTTGATGTCTCATCTTATGTGCTGCTTTTGGTTTTTGAAGTCTCCTGATTGCATTCTGGAAATGGAAATTGAAATAAATGATTAGTCATATAGATTAGAGAAGGAAGATGTTTTTCATTATTTCGAATTAGTTAGAGGTTTTTAGAATTTTGTAAGTTTGAAAAAGAAAAGTAAAATGATAGGATTTGATTTGATGTTCTATGAATTTAATCATTCTTTCATTTATTTTTTTTTCTGCCTATCAAGGTTGTGTTTTTAAAAATATTTTTACAAAGTTACTATTTCACTAGTGTGTAGGAATATTTTGAATTTAAAATTTTATAATATAAAATTAGTGTTGTTTTTAGAGAAATTAGTTGAAATCTAGATAATAAGAATAAATTTAAAAGTATATAAACAAATCATACAAATAATAAGAATTTGGGTTTTATTGTTTGAGATTTGGTTTAAATATTTTTATTTGAAATTAGAATGTTTTTATCAGTAACGTGTAGCAGTGTTGATTTTGCTTGACCAACGCCAAAAAAAGACCCTAAGATTAAAATAATTAAAAGAAAAAATTACTTTTTATTTTCAATGTTTATATTATTTACTCTTACAAATCTTTACATCCAAATTTTATTTTTAACTTTAATTTTTTAATATAAATTAAATTGAAACATTACAATTAACAATTTGTGTGTGGGATATTTTCAAAAAAAAAAAAACAAATGAAACAAAATCATCATAAAAATACACTGGGTTTGTTTTTTTAGGTTTAAAATTAAAAATAGTACTCAAATTAAAATTTAAATAAAGAAATTAATTTCAAATCAAAACCAAACAATTAATATTATATGACTTAGATCATTTTGGAATTTGGATGAAATTGTGTTCTCTCAGGTGTGTACTATGTTTTTCTCAAATGAAATAATAATTAGATTTTGTATTTCAAAAGAACAAATTTTTATTTGTAAGTTCAATTTAATAATAATTACTATATCTCAAATAAAAAAATATTCTCTTTATATTTTTATATATCTCATTAAAAAATATTATTTTTTATATAATAAAAATAATAATATATTAATACTAAATATTTTTAATTTTTATATAAATTACAAATATATTTTTAATAAAAAATAAAATTGTCAAAATTATTTTAAATATTTCAACTATATGATTATTTTTTCAAAACAAAAACTTACCATTCACAATGTTTTTTGTCTAATAAACTTTTTTTTCCATTATCCAAAAAATGCGCACTGGATAAACTTATCGAATCTAATACCCTATAAATCATATCCGACCGAAAAATCACACTAGCAAATGTCTAATAAACTTTTGTTTAAATAATAAGGGGTGTTTTTTTCCTTTACTTAAAAATAAGACTACAAAGCTTGGGGCAGTAATATTAAAAATAAAATAAAAATAAAAATAACCTTTAGTTAATTCTGTATAACATTTTATAAAATTTAATTTAATTTTACTGAAAAAAAAACATAAAAAGACCAAAAATACAAATCACAGACTACGTGACACCCTCAAAAGAATCGGTGCCTTTGACGGAAGCCGGCCGCCGGAGACAGAGAGGAAAGCCACCAGATTGAGGACGACGACGGCGAATCTACTAACACTATGATTAAGGGAGTTCTAATAATGAACGATCAAGGCAAACCTCGCCTCGTCAAATTCTATGAATTTCAGGTTACCTAATCTAATCTAATCGCTTCCTTCCTATACTCCCCAAATTATTTTTTAAATCACTTCCATATTTCTGTTTGCGCTGTTCTTTAATCGTCTTTCTTTCTTATTAATTGGCGTATCGGTTTGATTGACCGATTCAATTTGATATGCAAGATTAGCCGCCAGAGAAGCAGCAGGAGTTGATTCGAAGTATTTACAGAAGTCGGTTCTAAACTTTCCCTAAATGAATGTTTCTCTTGCTTTTCCGGACTCGATCGATGTGAGAAAAGTGGTTGAACTTTAACATAAATCAATTTTGTGCTGATCCTTGCAGTTCTATGCAGTAGAGCTGAGAATGTCAGTAATTTTGTTAAAGTAGATACTCTTCTGGGGCCGGTAAGGAGATTTGATTTGCTAACATTTCCAGGAGGACATAATCAGTATCAATTTTTCTCTCTTTTCTGCTAAAAACGAATGTCAAATTGCAGGACGTTCGAATGGTTTACAAAACTTTCGCGACATTGTACTTTGTCTTCATATTCGATAATTCTGAGAATGAGCTTGCAATGCTAGATCTTATGCAAGGTATGCCTTGTTACTTTTCTGTTTTATTTTGCTTCAATTCATTTTCACAAGTAAATCTCATCTTGACAATGCTTAGGCTGTTATTGAAACCACAATCAATTAAAATACTTCATTCTAATACCCGAGGATTTGGGTGATGTATTATGAATGCCATAAATCTTTTCGTGAATTAAGATAACCAATTTGAATGTGACAGCCAGTGTAGGGACTTTGTGACTCCGAAAACATCCATATGTGCCTAAAGGGAACTCAGTTATTGATACAAAATGTTTTTTATTTTCATTAAGGTGCAGTTAGGATTTTTCCTATAATCGGAAGTTTATTGAAAAACCTATTGAGTTGGTTTAATCTTCTATTGTCTATTTGTTATTAGAACTCTTGTGGAGATAGAATTAGACTTATTTTTGGTATAGGATTGACTCTTATATAAAGTGGCGTAGGCGTAGATGAATTCGTAGAGCCTTTCATTTGTTGCTGTAAATGTGAGTGTTCTTCGAAAAATTATATTATTGGAGTAAGCATTGTAACTTCAGCCACCCCAACTAGTGCCTACATATAGTTCTTTTGTTTTAAAATTCTAGCCATTTATGGAGGTTTTCTGCCCCACGGTTATTTCTTCTTTTGGTGTTTGTGCATTTTGCTTGTTCCTGACTTCATGGTTATTCTCATATTCCTTCTTTGTTGGAGTCGTTGATGTAATTTTTCTAACAAGTCATAAGCTTTTAATGGTTGCCTGTTAAAATAATAGATGCTCGTACATCTTGTTTGAACGTCTAACTTCTTTGTTGAAGAATACTGTTCAGACATCTTTATGTTAACATAGAAGTTTCATTTCCTCTTGTAGTCCGCTTGGTTGAATCTTTGTTATTCAAATTTGTACTTTTACTTACTTCTATATACACATCGTCATCTAAATCAAATAGGGTGGCTATTGAACTACACATCGTTCTTATTTTTAATGGAGGAAAGGCTCCATCTATTTCGACACATCATATTTCAGCATTTAGAGTTCTCAAGGATGCTTTTCTTGTTTTCTCAAAACCCAATGATGTCCTCACTTTCCTGGTGTGTTTGTTTGGGGGTTTGGATTGATATTTGAAAAGTGATATGATGTGATATAAATAGGTGTTGATGTAATGTTTTGAATATAAAATTAGTTTTTAGTATAGTATAAAAAATAAGTGTTTGATTTAATATTTTTGGGGAAAAATTGTTCTGATGAATAATGAAAATTGGTGGAAGTCTTTGAAACAAACACAACATGCACAACTTAATTGATCTATTTTGGTGGCTTTCCTTATTCATCTCTTAATGTTTGTATTTCAATTATCCTCATATTTTATTTATGTTCACAGCTAACAGTTGTAGGAATTAATTTCCTCCATACATTTTCCTGTCTTTTGATTGTTCTAGCTCCATAATCTTTGATTATTATAGTCCCTGAAACCATACACCAAAATCTGGACACTTGTTTCTGCAATTTGAAACATGTCCACGTTGTTTCTCCTGTTAAGATTTGGTTGCATTGATCCGCACGTGTCTGAATTGTATTGTCGACAGTTTTCGTGGAGACATTGGACAAGTGTTTCAGCAATGTGTGTGAGCTCGATATAGTGTTCAATTTTAACAAGGTCAGTTTCATTCTCCTTGTAACTTAGCAATTGTGTTCAAATATTTACAAACACATTATATATATATATGATAAGAAGAAAGTCATTGAAGGCCATGGAAATCACTTGCAGGTGCATACAATTTTGGACGAAATCATACTGGGCGGACAAGTTCTCGAGACAAATTCTTCGGAAGTCGTTCGAGCCATTGAAGACATATCTAAGTTCTCTCCCTCTTCCTCCCTCCCTCTCTCTCTCTCTCTCTCTCATTCATCAATTTAAAGACATGTTAATTGATGGCAGCAGTTTTATGCAGGTTGGAGAAGAATGGAAGCTCAATTATTCCATCCATAGCAGCCTGGCAAGGTCGATAGCAGCCTAAACCCTAAACCGTGACGATGAACTTCATGTTAAGCTCAACAAAATCACACATTCGAAGACATGTACTATATTCATAACATGGATTTGTCCCCCAAATACTGTAACTCTAACTCTGCATTTGATGTGCATTTTGCATTTTTGTTTAGACACAAGTTCTGAAAATTAGTAAAAAAAGTTTACTAGTTGATTGTGTTTTGAAAAGCTTATTGATGAAATAGTGCTTGCTGAATGCTGCACAAGGCTTGAAAAACAAAATAAAAATTCCGTTGCCGGGAATTGAACCCGGGTCTCCTGGGTGAAAGCCAGATATCCTAACCGCTGGACGACAACGGAGTTAGTTGTGCTTACCAAATTATTTTCTTTATTTATACCTATATATATCAATTGATTAAATTTTTTAATCGTCAACAAATTTATACTATGATGACGAGAAAGCAAAAAAGAGATCCTGTCTGGGGTCCCTCCAAATAAAAAGTAAACAAACAAACTGCTGGGTGAGTGAGTGAGAACATTACATACCCACCCAACAAAATTCTTAAAAAAAAAAAAACAAAAAGAAATCCATTAAGAAAAGAATTTAATTCCACAACTCCATCAATTAATCGTCCCTACAAAACCTCCCCAATCACTCCCAATCACTCCCACATATATACATAAAATACATACATACATGTGCTCCTTTATTCATGGAGTGTCCACCAATGAAACAAGAAGGGGACACACACACACACACTCACTCACAAACATATATATATATATATGTATGTATGTATCTCTTCTACATATGCACTGCACAAACTACTGCCTTACATTTCTTCATCTCCATCTTCTTCTTCCTTCCTGATTATTTTCACCTTCCTCCTTCTCCAAAGCCTTCACTTTCCCGTCCCGATTCAGCGGCGTCGTCTCCCTAATCGCCCGAGGCTCCTGCACAACAATCACAACGAAAATCAACTAATCAATAATGACACCGAGAAATCAGACAACAGCAATGCTCACCGCGCGGTAAGGAAACTCGTCGGCTTCAAGCATGTGGACGATCTGCCCCATCTTCGGCCGTTTGTTCGCATCCAAATCGATACATCGAAGACAAACTAATAAAATTCTTTTCAAAGCTCTCGGAGGCGGCGCAACCTCCATTAAAGGGTCCGCCAATTCCTCCCCCCGCCGACTCGCCACCATTCCTTTGAACCAATCCACCAAATTCATCTGTCGTCGCAGAAACTTTTTTACAGTTAAATTTATTGTCTTTTACGTCCCGTGTTTAAATCTCACAGCTGTCGATATATCTATTAGCTTAAACTTTTAGACGATCAAACGATTCGATAATTAGTGTTCCCTCCAGTCATCAAAGTGTATGTCCATTTCATCGGTCACACATTTTAAGTAAAGTAGGTAAAAATAAAAGTATTTTCTTTTGAATAAAGAAAAAGGCGAAAAGATTGGTATTTTTTTTGTTAGAAGTGAAAATAAATTTGGATGATAACAGAAAAACGAAAGTGAAAATAAATTTGGATGATGGATAGAGTACTTCTTACCTCGCCGGGTGGTTTCGAATAGTCCACCGGACTCCTTCCCGTAATTATTTCCATTAATAGAACGCCGAAGCTGTAGACATCGTTGCCTTCATTTAGCATTCCAGTGCTCGCGTAATCGGGGGAGACGTACCTGCAATAATCGCGCAAATAATATGTAAGAAAATCGTGTTTAATTAACAGTATGCCGAGAAAAAGAGATTTTCGGATACGAAAAACGGACCCGAATGTTCCCATTACTCGTGTGGTGACGTAGCTTTTCTCAGAAACTAATAGCTTCGCAAGCCCGAAGTCCGACACTTTCGGGTTCCATTTCTTGTCCAAAAGAATGTTGCTCGATTTCACGTCGCGGTGGACTACTTTCGGCTCCAAGCCTTCGTGCAGGTACGCCAAGCTGGAAAGGACAAAAAGAAATCGAGTCATCGACATCTATGTTGTATCGAGTTTTTTAATATGAATTTGTGGTGATTTGAAAGTTGTCCTACCCTCTGGCTGTCCCGATGGCGATTTTCATTCGGATGTCCCAAGTTAAAGGGCTGACCGGCCCTACGGCACCGTGCAGCCACTGCTCCAAATTGCCATTGTTAATGTACTCATAGACGAGCATTCTAATTACATATAAAGAAGTTGAAAAGGATCTGTTAGAAACTCGATGAATCAGGTGCACATCAATGGAAATATTGGGACAACTTCGGTTACCTCTGAGCGCCATCCGCGCAATAACCTATGAGGCTGACAAGGTTCTTGTGTTTCACTTTCCCGATTGCTTCGACCTCCACCTTAAACTCCTTCTCCGCCTGACCCCTGTTTGATCGTCGAGTTTGTTTCGATTCAGCACATTATAAATCCACAAAATGGTAATCGAAAGAGATTGAATTCGATTAATAGTATTGCTTGTTGCTTGAATCAATGTGTTTCCGAAAACACGAAAGTATCAATTTTGTAAGGATTGAAGGGAATGTGAATTTGAGAAAGTAAGAAAAATGAAAATGCAGCAACTTACAGCGACATCCCAACAGCTAAAAATGGAGTTAACTAAAGGCAAAGGTAGAAGATGATTTAACCAAAAGTTCTAGCTACAGGAAATGCTTTGATCTGTTTTTCACGAAATTGGATATATCATAGCAAAATCTCAATTAAGATGAACAAATTGTATAGAACAATTGCATTATAGCTTTTAATCTGAGATTTGAAGGTGTTTCCATGGCGATGGAGATGCTTACTTGTTGTTGAGAAGCTTTTTAATGGCGGCCAGAGAGCCATCCTGCAGAACTCCGCGATAAACGACGCCGTAGCCTCCTTCTCCGACGACATTGTCGCTGGAGAACTGGTTCGTCGCTAATTGAAGCTCTTTCAGGCTGTACCATCTGCCCCACCCCAAGTTTCCGACGCCGTCGGAGGTCGACGACGACGACTCGCTCCGATTCGTGCTCGATTCCTTGCTCTCGGAGCTCCCGTGGTTTCTCTCTGCTTCGTTTTTGTCCGAATTCGGTTTGAATCCTTGCCGTGGATCGATCTCGCGGAAAACCAGGGGCAGAAGGCCGGCGGTGGTTTTGGCGGCAATGCGGCGGCGTTTGGAGGTCCGGTGGCGGAGGAATAGGACGGCGAGAAGGAAAATTGCGAGGACGAGGAGGACGGTTGCGATGATGAGGACGTAGAGCTTCTGGCCTAGGATCGGCGTTTTTTTGCTTAAGATTGTGGCTCCGCCGGAGTCCGCCATTGTTGCCGGCGAGGTTAGGGTTTAGGAGGAAATTGGAGAAGACGATGGTGATTTGTGGGGAAGGGAAAAGGGAAAGGAAAAGGAAAAGGCTGCAACCATTGTTGGACACCAAACTGAAGTGAGAATTACGATGAATTGTGGAAAAAGACACCCAACGGAAAGGAAAAGCCCCGACTCTCTCTAACCTCCTCGTCTACGATTGATGCCCGTTTCGGCCATGGAAATAGAGCTCACAGTCACAGGTGAGAAGCCCATTGGTGGAGCTCCGGGACCTGGGGTCTCGTAGTTGCGTTTGTAGGGTTTGATATTGACAGCTGGTGGAGGTCCTGGACTCCGCGAAGAAGGGTGTACGAAGCCCTTGGGTGCTCGGATCCCGGGAGCTTCTCTCGACGCGTCCTTTTTGCTTGCGAAAGAACACAAGCAATTGACAAAAATCGAAACGAACAAAAAGAATAGGAAATTACAACGACACACTCGTTGTGATGAAAAATAATTTGTTTTCATTATTTCGAATTAATAATAATAATAAAAAAATTAAAATTACAGTAAAAGTGTGCTTGATTTTATTTAAATTTTATTAATTTTGAAGTCTAATTAAATGTGAACAATTAAATCTAACGGTCAGACTACTGCCATTAATTACATATATGAAAAACTATTCTAAATATATTCAATAACTCAGACTCGTAAGGGACAATTGGGTGTAACAGTGGTTGAATGTGTGACCGTAAGATCATGATCTGACTTGTCCGTGTCGGACTTAATGCATTTTCGGGTAACGATTGCGGTTAATTATTATCCTAAATTGTACCTACTAATACTCTCAAACTGCCTAATTCAATAATTATTACCTTCTCAGAAACAATTTCATTAATGATTCGTGACAGCTACATAATTAATTCCATTAAATGTACCTTAATTTTGGCTGCCTGCCTGTCATCATTACATTAAAAAGAATTACTATAATAATTCCGATTTATAAAAGTTGTTTATATATTACTACCTTCGACCTACTTAATCAGCATCACATTCATTATCTTTATTTTGTTCTTGTTTTCTTCTCCCAATGGGCTAAGGATTTATTTGTCACCCCAAATCCTATGCTCGTCTTTCTTAACTCCTTTTTTAAAATGTATATATTTTTAAAGTAAAATAATTTGTTAAATAATATTTATTCCGTCTCACTTATAATGTTCATTTTTTTTTCCGACCGTCTAGCTTATTTTGTCATTTTGTTTTTTTGGAAAAAAAAATTATACATTTTAATTTTATTTTAAAATTTTTAATTTATAATTTTTTTAATTTAAATTATACTAATTAGTTATCTTAATTTCATTATTTTTACTAATTCATTCTTTATTATTTACTAATTATACATTTTTTAAATTCTAGTGTCTACGACAGCGTAGACATAATATCTGGGACGAAAGGAGTATAATATTTTAACTAAAAAGTTAATCCATAGTGTAAATTTTTTAATAAAATTCATAGTGTTCTTTTATAAAATATTGCATTTAAATTATTTTTAATTTTTTTTTTAAAAAAAAAAACAAAACAAAACAATCAAACCAAAATTAAAATAAATACTCCCTCCGTCCCAAACACCGTGCAACGTTTTCTGTTTTGGTATATCCCAAACACTCTGCAACATTTTCAAAATATGAAATAATTAATTATACTTAATATTTATCCCACACTTTATCTAATCACATTATCTAAATAAAAAAAAAAAAAATATACATTTCTCTCTCCGTCACATCACTTAATTTCTAAATTATCCTAGTTAATACTATAACAAATATTGCACTTTATTTATTCAAGATTTAATGATTTAATAAATAGAAATAAATAATTTTCTCGAAGAGAATGATATTTAATGAATGGTGAAGGAGCGGGTGTCGTCAGGCGCGTTCCGTTCCTTGAAGGTCACGAACACATGCCATGCCCCATTCCTAAACTTAAATTCTTTGCAATTAATTACACCACCGCCATTAATATTGTCACACAATCTCTCTCTCTTATTTATTGCAACATGTAAACTTAATTGGACTTTCTTAATACTGGGATTATTTTGCTTAATATGTTCATTTTTTTCAATGCTTAGTCACATTCAGTGATAATATTTAAAAAAAAAAAAAAAAACATTTAGATATTGTTTTGTTGTAGTTTGAAAATTTATTTGAAGTGAAATATTGATTCAAATTTTTATTTAAACTTATTTTGATACCATGTTTTACAAGAATAAATACCCAAAATAAAAAATTCAGTTTTGGCCCAATATAAGTAGTTCGTGGCCCAGCAATTTCATGGCCCGCTTATTCGATTGACCCGGCCCAAATGAGGCCTGAAAATGTAATTGAGATTTTTGAAAAAATTTAAATAAATTGAAAATTTATTCAAAAGAGGAGGGGATTATCCAGAAACAAAAAATAACCAGATTCAAGATCTACGACCAGATTCCACACGCATTATTCCATTTTCTTTTTCAATAATTTTCTGCAAATTTTTTTTTTTTTTATAATTTTTTCTCCTTGAACATCGAATATTTCTTTTGCAAGTTAATCAATTTCCAGCTTCTTTTTTTCATTTTTTCCTTTGTTTTATTAGGTTTATTTTTGTCTTCCTGTTATATTAATTATTTGGATATCATAAAATAGTCCCGATTTTTTTATTGAGGAGACCGAATTTTTTTTCGAATAAATCAATTCCGACAGACTTTTCTACGTGACAATTTTGTTTACGACAACATTATTATTTGAAACTTAACTTGAGCCATGTTCAACTGTACTGCTTATTGGGCCTAAAGGTATGAGAATATTTGAGCGCAAAAGGCCCAATAAATAGAATGGGCCCACCAAATTGGGGCTTCAAATATTAAAGGTGTATTGTTATTTGATTCAAAATTGCATCTCTAAAACCCTTGCTTTGCTGTTCTAAAAATAAATAAATATGGATCCAATTAATCCAATAAAATTATTCCTCACTGAATGAATAATAATCATCACTGTTTTCTTCATTATTTATTTAAGAAGAAGCCCGCCTTTCAAGATATATATATTAATTAATTAATTAATTAAATCAAAGTATTATAATATTGTAAATTCCACCGAGTAATTACGGCCAGCGGTGCGTCACGTGCGCGTAGGGCCCAGTTACACAAAATATCTTGAAAACCTTCGTTTAACCATGGTTAACGCTCCTCTAATATTATATCTAGTGGGATTGAATTTCTGAATTACATTTATTTAATTATTAGAAAAATCAAGTTTTATGAAGTAAGTCAAGTCAACGCTACCACTTCGTTTCTTGTTTTTCAGCGCAACTGCACGTCGGTACCTCAGAATGTGTTTGTTTCTAATTTTGGATTAATAGTATTTTTTTTTTATTAAATGTGAAATATTATATCAATGGTATAAAAAATAATATTATCTTGTTAAGAGTATGTTTCTAGTTTTATTTGTGTTCGTAATTATTGACATATTTTTATTTTTTTAATAAAATTAATTAAATTAAAATATTTTTTTCGTTGAAAAGTTACTATTTTTTATTTATTATTTTCTAATTTAGTAATTGTACTACCTACTTAACATAATAAATACATTTTTAATTTACAATATTTTACACAAATGTCATTACTTTTATATTACACCATAGTAACAGGGATATTTTTGTCTTTTTTACTACAACTCAATAATATACTAATATTAAAAATCTACGTGCAAAAAACAAAAGTCATCCTTCCAACGGAACGAAGGGAGTATAATTAACAAATATTTTTGTCTTAACTAATTTGTCTATTTTAATTGGATCACAAAATTTTAAGTATTGTATAATTAATATATAATTAAAAAATATATTCGTAAAAATAATTATAAAAGGTGATTAAATTATATATTTATATTTTTGAAAGAAAAAAATTATGTGAGACATACCGAAATAAAAATAATAAATAAATTATGTGGAACGAATGAAATATTAAATAATTTAATTAACTAACTAACATATAACACAATATGTAATTCACTCAAAACTCTTTTATTTATTTATTTTTTTGGTCTTGTAAGGAATGGTCTGGCGGTGTGGGGGTTGGACGTATAACCGTGAGGTTATGGGTTCCCACGTCATTAAAAAAAAACCCCCTTTTATTTATATTTCTTTTTTTAAATAATAAATATTTTTATATACTTTTGAAAACTCCATAACTTTTATAAAATTAGTTTATGTTAATTATAAATAACTGTATTTTTTATTTACTTAGTATTATAGAAAAATTTATACTCTACAAAATTATATTGATATTGCATATATTTTTTATTGCCAAGACGTCCATCGGAATGAACACAAGAAAATGGTCCCGAACCTCACCGGAAAACTCACAGTTCGAACTTCTCTCTCTCACCCTCTCTCTCTCGGTCTCGCCCTCACTCTCTAATCGGATTTTATATTCAAAATAAACCATCTAACAAACCCCTAACTAAATCAGTTTGGGATATATGGGTTTAGGATTAAAGGGTTGAGCCGATCCGGTGGGTTGGACTATGAAATAGGCCAACTAATTATTTATCGAGGGACTTGTCGTATTAGATTTTGAACGGTTAAAATTTCTAACAATAAATAATGTTAATTTATATTTAAAATCACAACCAAATACACTCGTAATTATAGTTTTAATTTAAAATAAAAAAAAAAACACCACACCCAAAAAAGAAAAGAAAAAAACAAAAACAAAAAAGAGTCTATATTCTTGAGAGATTTTAATGTATTTTGATGCGCGAGAGTTAGTCTTGGGATAGTAAGATTATATATTCAAATTTTCGACCCTATTTTCTACAGTTGCAGCGGGCTATCACATCATTAAAGAAAACCAAAAAGAAAGTATTATATTTTGATTAAAGAAAACAATTTTAATAATGAAAAAAGAAACAAACCGCTAAAGAAAGGAACCAAAATTTAATTTTTAACTTTGCATATTCTATTCCATGAATTATGAATAATTGAATATACACTGCTTTGTTTTCTTCCTTTTTTTTTTTTTTTTTTTTTTTTTTTTTCCTTTAATCTTTACGAGCGCAAGTGGACCACCCAAGCAGGCCCTTACTCGCTTTTAACCACGGTTTCTCACCAACTAGCATAGTCTTACTCGGGTGCGCCGTGCGCACTCGGCGCACGTTATCTACTCCCATGCCAAAACCTACCTCTGACTACCAGTATAAATAGGGCTGTTTTCATTTATCGTTTCCCATCAGCTGCGCTAGACATTTCAGAGGCGGGTTTATTTCTTCATCCCCGTCTTCTTACTCATTCTCGTTTCAATGGCGTCGGCGGATGTTGAGTATAGGTGTTTTGTTGGTGGCCTTGCTTGGGCTACCACCGATCAGACGCTCGAGCGTGCCTTTTCACAATACGGCAAAGTCATCGAGTCGAAGGTCCGTTGTGCAGAGATCGATCGGATCCGACTTGATTCTCTCTGATCTGTTAACGTTACTACTGTTACTGTTACTACTGTTACTCTGAGTTACTACTGTTACTGTTTCTGTTACTATTTTACCTATGAAAAGGTACGTTCTGTCTTCCATCCTTTTTACGAAAGGTTGAAGATCGGATAAGCTTTTCAGTTTTGTGTGAATATGTTACAGATCTGGTGTGGATCTGTGCGGATCTGATGTTTTTGTATGTGTTTTGTGCTGGATCTGTTGCAGATTATTAACGATCGCGAGACTGGAAGGTCCAGAGGCTTCGGATTCGTTACTTTCGAAGACGAGCAGTCGATGAGAGATGCGATCGAAGGAATGAACGGCCAGGAGCTCGACGGACGCAACATAACCGTCAACGAGGCTCAATCCCGCGGAAATGGCGGTGGTGGCGGTGGCGGTGGTTTCCGTGGCCCTCGCCGTGATGGTGGTGGAGGCGGTGGATATGGACGTCGTGAGGGCGGATATGGAGGCGGCGGCGGTGGAGGCGGTTATGGACGCCGTGAGGGCGGCGGTGGATATGGAGGCGGTGGTGGCCGTGGAGGCGGCGGTTATGGAGGCGATCGTGGATACAGAAGCGGTGGCGCTCCCGATGGAAGCTGGAGGAGTTAAAACCATGGTTTCCTCCTCCTGTATCCGACTGAATTTAGTTTTGCCTTTGTTTGGATTTGATTCCAAATGTTGCTTATTAGTCTTGTCGATCTATTTTTGGTCTCTCTCGTTCTCAAGTGCTTAGGGTTTCCGTTTGTTTGTTATCTCATGAATCAGTCAGTCAAGTCTGTCAGTCTGTCTCTCTCTCTGTGTATAAATCAATGTTTACAGAGTTCTGTGGAATGAAGTAAATTGAGATTTCTACCAATCTTGGAGATTTTGTTGTTATCCTTTGATGGAGAGTTGTGGTCTTTCAAATAATATCTTCAGATTAGATGCTAATACAATAATCTGAAAGTAAATAAAAATAAGCAACAGTGATTTGGATTATGTTTCGTCATGAGATGAGAGAAGGCAGTTTGAATTAATTTAGCCATTTATGGGCAAGTTGGGTTGAACAAATATATATGGTTGTAGAATTGAGAAAGTAGACGACGATATATGCTTAGTAGTTGCAGATAGATAGATAGATAGATAGATTATGAAGGAGTTAGGCGGCAAGATGAGAACCAGTGAGTCAAAATCAATATTAAGGTGCTCATGTGATGAAATAGCTATTATAGAGATTTAACTATAGAATGTATGTGGATATCATATCAACTCTACAACACTTGTCTTTAATCTCTGCAAGTATACATCATCATCAGTCACTCAATTCTTTGTGTGAAAAATCACAAAAGGAGTCCCCTAAGGTACGTTTTTATCAAATTTTTGAATTTTATCATGAATTTTTAGTTTAGGATATTCTTAAGGATCTTATCGAATGCTTGCAGCTTGCCAAACAAAAGTTGAGAGAAAAAAAAAAAAAGTATTAAAAGAAGGGTAGGCTTAGGGCAATTTGTCGAAGAGAAAACAAAACAACTCAAATGAGAATAAAGAACATAATTAATACAAATAAGGATCAAACTAAAAATGGACATTTTTCTTTGGTAATGTGAGGTGAATTTGTGACCAAGAGATTCAATAGAAAATTAGAATGTGTATATAAGAAAAGAAGAGTATAATTGTATATAATTATCGAAATAGACAATGAATATAATTTTATTGTTCTTGTTCTTGTAATATGATGTGTAAAAAAGTATGATTATGTATTGCACGCTATTAAATTCGGTCAGAATTTATCAGGAGCTTATTTGACCAGTAGATTCCACATTATAAAAAAAATTAAAAATTAGATAATAATTATTGTGTTTGAATTTTATTTTATTTGTTTTGGTTTTGAATCTTCATTTGAAAAATGTTTTAAAATAAAAACATTATAAGTATTAGTATATAATATATATATCTTTGTAAGACCACCGGCAACAAAAAGCTCTATTAATTTTTTTTTTTTTTTTTTCATCCATCTCATATATATATATATAAAATACAAACATATTTATATTAAAATTATTTATTGAAAAAATCAAAAAATATATTAATATATATTGAATAGAAAAACTTGCTGGGTATCTCAATTTAGTTTTGAAAGATTTAAAAGAATAAAATTAATATATATATATATTAATAAAATATTGTGTGTTTGTTTGGGGTTTGGATTTTGAAATGATATTTAAATAGTAAAAATTTTGAATTTGAATAATTGTATAATGTGATATTTTGAATGCAAAATTGATTTAGAATAATATAAAAAATAAAAAATAAATGTTTAAACTTGATATTTTTTAGAAAAAAAAATAGAATATACAGTATATTTAAAATTCAATCACCCGAACAAACACACCCTTAATGGATTAGTTAACAGAAGCCACAGGCCCAAAATAAGAGTAATGTAAATTATGACAGTTTTGTTGGGCTGCTTCATTCAGGTAATTTGGGCACCCTTTAATAATTTAAGCTTATTTATATTATTTTGGATTAATTTTAAATAAAAAATAAATATGGCGGTTTTTTTTTTTTTTTTTTTATATATATATAAAATCTAAATATTGAAAGACATTATTGTAAATTTCGTATGGAGAAAAAGTTAAGAGCATTGACAAAGTACCATATATATGGTCTAAGAGCATATACAATAGTTTCTTTAAAAAAAGCTTCCATTGAATAAAAATCTTTCTGCATTTTATTTTTATCAGCCTGAATATGGTCTTTCCTGCACCTATCCAAAAAGTTTATGTCCATTTGAAGAACACAGTGTGTATTATTTTTTCAAAGCTCCAATTGGATTTGAATATTTTAGAATTTTTATATAAATAATATTTAACATTATATTTTATTAAAAGATAAAGTTTTTTTTTAAAAAAATTTTCAAAAAATATAAAATTTAAATAGTTAAAAAAAATAAAATCCCTCCTAGAGCTGAGAAGGAAAAGGTAACTCCTGTTGGTAATAGTCCAAGCCCATGAGTAGAAATGGAGACATGAACTGTGGAACTTAAATTTTCTCAACTTTGCTCTATTTAGTTAAATTTTTTTAGTTTAAAAAAAAATTTAAAAATAGTAAAAAATTATTTGATTTGCTTTTTTGTGAAAAAAAAATAAATTATTTTATAGGATAATTTTGAAATGAAAATTACATGAATAATACCAAAAATTTGAAAAATAACTATATAAGCAGTCTCAAGTGTGATTGTCACAATTAAGGGTACTTAGTTAAAATTCACAGGTCAAATGAGGATTAAAGGAACAAATAAAAGAAGCCCACAATAGAATTAAAAAGAGGAAAAGTTCACAACACACAAAGGATCAAATTTTGTTTCTCCTAATTTTTTTTTTTCTATTATTTCTTTCATTTTTATTTATTTTTTCATTGAGAGTATACATTTCAATTCATGCATTTCACCCCTAAATTCCATACTCCACTTCCATGTCTTTCTATAAAATTTTGATGAAAATTTCAAATGATATTTTGCACCATCATACATAAACATATTCATATGAAGATTTAAATTTAATTGTTTTTGAATTGTATTGTTGGAGTGCAAACCCAAATTCCACAAATTTCACACCTTATAAGTCCTAAGTGAACTCCGCTAGTATAAGGCCTTTTGAAGAATATTCAAAAACAAATCCGTGCGGGCTTAGTCCAAAACGGACAATATTATACTAGTATTGAGTTGACCCAGTCCCGACATGTATGAGTTAGTAGTCAAAGATTTTTTAGGATATGATTATATTTGATTATGGCATGATATATATGGTTACCTAAGCCACAATAATATTGTCATAAAATCAATTTTAGTTCAATTTATGCATCACCAATTTAATGTACCATATCAAATAACCATCCACCCATCACATCATAAAGATATTATTTATGTTGTTTTGCAAAGGATAATCAAAAAAATATAACCGTAAATTTGTGATCGGTCATGAATTCAAAATTTGATGTCTTTGAGTCTCTTGACAAGCTTTTATCTTTCAAATGGAACCAATTAATATCGATACTAAAAAAATTCAAATGAGAGTATTCATTATATCAATCAGAGAAAAATTATGAAAATATATTAATACTGTATGAAAACCCCCTGCGATGATTATTGACAGTGATTCAGATTCATCGACATCGCAACCAACAAGAAGGGTTCCAAAAAAGAATCTTCAATAGACTTAGGAGAAAAAGATATTTGAAAAATACAAATTCAAAAACCTTGAATATAATTTTCAGTGTTATTGATGAAGAACAATTTAAGATAATTTATACTAATGAAGTTGTTAAGAAAACATGAGATTCTTTTGAAGGTTATATTGAAGCACGATCTATAAAATTACAACATATTGAAAAACATGCTTGATAATTTGAGAATACATGAAAATTAAATTATTTTTTGATACTATAATTGCTTCAAAATGTGATCAATCAAGCCTATAGACTAAAATTTACTTAGGAAAATGCTTAAAATGATTGCTAAAAAATTCAGTCCTAAAATAGCAACATTAGAAAAAATAAAACAAATGGAAAGACTGAGTCGACTAATTCTAGAAAAATTAATAGGTATTGTATATAAATTAAAATTACACTTAAATATCATATAAAATTAAAAGAACAAAACTTCTATCTCATACTCATTTTATCCGGCTAATAAGTATATATTTATTCAAAATTTTAAATAAAAATATTTTAATTATAATGTGTAATGAATAATAGTATAAAGACAATTTTATTTTTGCCTTTTTGATAAAAAATAATAATAAAATGATAAAATAAGAATATATATATATAATATTTAATAAAATAATTACTTTTTAATTATATATCCCAAAATAAAAATAGATAGAAAATATAAATTAAACTATAAATAGGGAACAATATCTTGTGACAGCAACAAAAGAGATCTCCCTCAACCTTTTCCTTTAATTCGGGAATCAGTGCCCCTTTTTTAATTTTCATGAATTAATATCAATCAAATAAAATCACACACACATATATATATATATATATACATATATGTGGCTGTAAGAAAACAGTAGGATCGAAGGTTTTTTCTTAGTTGAGTAATAAGTCCGTTAGGCTGACATTTTTCAATTTTTTTTTAACAATTCTTTATTAAAAAAATATAAATATACATCCATATTAATATATTATATATTATCTATTCATAAAAATTTAATCATTCAATACAAAAATATTATTTTTATATTATCAATACAGTTCTCCACATCATACCTAAAAAATTAATTTATCTAAAAATGCTGAATAAACAAATCAATTTTTTCTTTTTTATCAAATGTGTGTTTGTAATTGTTTGCCAACTTTACTTTTATTTTTAACCCGTTAGCTAAATTTATTTATTATTAATTTTAGCAAAAATCAACAAATTAACATTATAATATTACTATTTATTTATAACAAATATCATTACATTTATTATGTTTTTTTTATTATTATTTACTTTAATTTTTAACTAAAATTTTAAAAATATCTCAAATTATCTTTTTAATTGTATTAAAATTTTCAATAATATATATATATATATATTATATATATTTAATTTTTATGCGGTACTCAAGTGAATTAATTATAATAGGCGGAGAGTATATACAAATGTCATGGACATATATATTTCTTCCACTTATTCTATTTTAATCCAAAATTTATATTATTAATTTTATAAAGAAACATAAAAATAATTTTAGATGTTACAAGTTTTGTCTAATTTTATAAATATATGTTTATTTTTTATACAAAATTTAATAAATATGATATTTTAATGACAGTTGATGATAATTTTATAAATATTACTCCCTCCGTCCCAGATAATTTGTTCCT